GAAGAAAAAAAGAACTCCTTAAAAAGTTGAATTGGCCAAATAGAAAAAGAGGTACAAAAGCTCACTGAAGAAAATTATTCCTTAAAAATTAGAATTGATCAGACCAAACACTTGAAACTTGCTAGCTGTGTGACCCTGGGCAAGTCACTTAACCCCAACTGCCTAAAAAAAATTAGAATTGAGCAAATACAAGCTAATGACTTTATGAGAAATCAAGAAATAATAAAACAAAACAAAAAGAATGAAAAAATAGAAGACAATTTGAAATATCTCATTAGAAAAATAACTGACCTAGAAAATAGATCCAGGAGAGATAATTTAAAAATTATTGAACTACCGAAAAACCATGATCAAAAAAAGAGCCTAGACATCATCTTTCAAGAAATTATCAAGGAAAACTGCCCTGATATCCTAGGACCAAAAGGCAAAATAGTCCTTGAAAGAATCCACCAATCCCCTCCTGAAAGAGATCCCAAAATGAAAACTCCCAGGAATATTATAGCTAAATTCCAGAGTTCTCAGGGCAAGGAGAGAATATTGCAAGCAGCCAGAAAGAAACAATTCAAGTATTGTGGAGCCACAGTCAAGATAACACAAGAGTTAGCAGCTTCTACATTAAAGGATTGGAGGTCTTAGAATATGACATTCCAGAGGGCAAAGGAATTAGGATTACAACCAAGAATCACCCACCCATCAAAAATTAATATAATCCTTCAGGGGGAAAAAATGGGCATTCAATGAAATACAGAACTTTTCAAGCATTCTCGATGAAAAGACCAGAGCTGAATAGAAAATGTGACTTTTAAATACAAAATTCAAGAGAAGCATAAAAAGGTAGACAGAAAAGGGAAATCATAAGGGATTTAATAAGGTTAAACTGTTTGCATTCCTACATGGGAAGATGATACTTGCAACTCATAAAAACTTTCTCATTATTAGGGCAGTTAGGAGTAGATGTAGACAGAGGGCACAGGTGTGAGTTGAATATAAAGGGATGATATCTAAAAAAATAAAAATTAAGGGGCAGAAAGAAGAATGAACTGGGAGAAGGGAAAGGGAGAGGTAGAATGCGGTAAATTCTCTCACATAAAAGTGGTAAGAAAAAACTTTTTACAGTGGAAGGAAAGATGGGGAGAGTGAGGGGGGATAGAGTGAGTGAACTTACTCTCATCAGAATTGGCTTAAAGAGAAAATAACATACACACTCAATTGGGTGTAGAAATCTATCTTACCCTATAGGAGAGTAGGAAGGAAGTGGATAAGAGAAGAAGGTAGAAGCCAAAACAACTGAGGAAATCAATGAGGCTAACTGCATCCTCACAAAGCAAAAAGCTGTGGTAGACTTTGTAAAAGTTGAGTATTGCTTTTGATTTTTCTTCAGTTATTAACAAACAATAGGAACCAAGCAAACTCAACTATGTTAAACTTGTCCTCAAGTACTTCAAGAATCTGTGAGTTCATCAGTGTGTGTATTCCCTCCACCAAAGCAGGTGGAATCCTCTACAATTTAGCAAATGGTCATTAAAAGTTGATGGGGGAGGGGGGCAGCTAGGTGGCACAGTGGATAGAGCACTAGCCTTGGAGTCAGGAAGACCTGAGTTCAAATCTGGCCTCAGACACTTGACATTTACTAGTTGTGTGACCCTGGGCAAGTCACTTAATCCCAATTGCTTCACCAAAAACAAAAAAAACAAAAACAAAAACAAAAAAGAAATGGTAATCAGGATGCTCTAAGAAAAACCTGGAAAAACTTGCATGAGCTGATGCAAAGTGAAATATACTATGTACAAAGTAACAGCAATATTGTAAGATGGTCAGCTGTGAATGACTTAGCTATTCTTAGCAATATAATGATCTAAGACAACTCTGAAGGACTTAAGATGAAAAATGCTATCCATCCCCAGAGAAAGTACTGAATGAAGCATACTTTTTTTTACTTTAATTATTTTTCCTGAGTTTTTTTGTTTTGTTTTGGTTTTTGTCTGTGTTTTCTTTCACAGCATGATTAATATGGAAATATGTTTTAAGGGGAAGCTAGTTGGTACAGTGGATAGAGCACTGACCCTGAAGTCAGGAGGACCTGAGTTCAAATCTGGCCTCAGACCAAACACTTGACACTTACTAGCTGTGTGACCCTGGGCAAGTCACTTAACCCCAATTGCCTTTAAGAAAAAAAAAGAAATACGTCTTGCATGTCTACACATGTATAACCTATATCAAATTGCTTGCTTTCTCAGTGAGCGGTAAGGAAGGGAGGAAGGGAGAGGATTTGGAGCTCAAAGTTTTAAAAACAAATGTTAAAAATTGTTTTTACATGCAGTTGGGGAAAAATAAGATACTAAATAAATTTTTCAGAAAGGGGAAAAAAGAGACTAACCATAAGTGACTCAATAAAGTTAAATGGTTTATATTCCTGTATGGGAAGATGATAGATATAACTCCTAAGAACTTTATAATTATTAGGTCAGTTAAAAAAGAGTTTACAAAGACAGAGCACATGGGTGTGAGTTCTTTATATTGTAATCATCTCCAAAATAAAAGAAGGGGTGAGAAAGAGGAATGCAATGGGAAAAGGGGGAGGGGAGAAGTACAATGGGGAAATTTTTTTTCACATGAAAGAGGTGCATAAGGAAGAGCTTTTACAATGGAGGGAGAAATGGAGGATTGGCAGGCAATGCTTGAACTTCACTCTCACCAGAATTCACTCAAAGAGAGAAGAATATGTAGATGTAGATATAGATATATCGCATATATATATATATATAAAGAATATAGATATAGATATACACACTCAGTTGTGGATAGAAATGTAACCTACCCAGTAGGGGAAAAGGAGAAGAGAATAAGAGAAAGCGGGAGAGATGATAAAGGAGAGAGTAAATTAAGGGAGGCAGTGGTTAGAAGCAAAATAGACATTTGAGGAGGGATGGGATAAAAAGAGAGATAAAGAAACAGAAGATAATGGGATGGAGGAAAATACACAGTAATCATAACTGGGAATGGGATGAAATCACCCATAAAACAGAAGCAGATAGCAGAATGGATTAGAAAGCAGAATCCAACAATATGCTGTATACAAGAGACACTCTTGAAAAACAAAGACACATAGAGTTAAAATAAAGGGCTGGAGCAAAATCTTTCATGCTTCAGCTGAAGCAAAAAAGGTAGGACAGCAATCATGATCCTCAGACAAAGTAGAAATAGACCTAATTAAAAGAGATAATCAGGAAAACTACATTTTTCTAAAAGGTACCATAGAAAATGAAGTAATATAAAAAAAATTACAGCAAGTTTCTCTGTTAAAGACCTCAGTTCTCAAATATATACTAAGTATAGAACTGAGTCATTTACAAAAATAAGGGCCATTCCCCAATTGATAAATAGTCAAAGGATATGAATAGGCAATTTTCAGAAGAAGAAATCAAAGCTATTTATAATCCTATGAAAAATTACTCTAAATCACTATTGAGTAGAGAAATACAAATTAAAACAGCTACAAAGTACCACCTCACACCTATCAGAAATGACAAATGCTGGAGAGGATGAGGGAAAAATAGTTACACTAATGAATTGCTGGTGGAGTAGTGGTCCAGCCATTCTGGAGAACAATTTGGAATTATGCCCAAAGGGCTATAAAATTACACATAGTCTTTGACCCAGCAATACCACTTCTAGGTCTGTATCCCAAAGAGATCAAAGGAAAAGGAAAAGGAAAAGGACCAATATGTACAAAAATATTTATAGAAGCTTTTTTGTGGTAAAAAAAGATTTGAAAATAAGGGAGATGCTCATCAACTGGGGTCTGGCTGAACGCGGCATATGATTGTGATGTTGCTATGTTGCTATAAGAAATGATGAGGGTAGTGGTTTCAGAAAAACCAGGGAAGACCTATATGAACTGATACAAAGTGAAGTGGGAGATCATTGTGACCACTAACAACAATGTTGTAATGATGATCTACTGTGAAAGACTTGGCTACTCTGTTCAATACAACGATCCTAGATAATTACAAAGGACTCATAATGAAAAAATGCTATCGATGTCCGGAGAGAGAACTGATGAACTGAATGCAAATTGAAGTATGATTTTCTTAATTTGTTTTTCTCATTTTTTCTTTGAAATATGGCTAATGTGGAAATTTGTTTTGCATGATTTCACATGCATAATTGATATCATATTGCTTGCCTTCTTAGTGAGTTGGGGAGGGATTAAGAGGAAGGAAGAGAATTTGGATCACAAAATTCTCAAAGAAAAGAGTACTTAAAAATAAATAAATAATATTTTTTAAAAAAAGAAAAGAAAAGAAAGCAGACCTGGGAGGGAGATTTCGTAAGTTATAGTACACTAGGGCAGTGGGAAGGGGAAAAGGAGGGCAGGCCAAGGGTAGCCATAGTACAGAATGCTGATTTACAGCTCTGCTCACAGTCACCTTCACTGTTGCAGCTGAAACTTAGAGCTCTGGTTATCCTGAAATGATGACCATGCTTATCTTACCACAATATCTTAAAACAATGAAAGGACTTTAATGAATTTTGAGTTGGCAAATGCATACAAAAGCCTTCCCAAGATGATAAATTTATGCATCTGTTCATAGACTAGACACATCTCAAACAGCTTTGTAAGCAGCCTCAATTTGTACAGCTTCCAGAATGTGGTCAATTAGCCTATGTTTGCGCAATATCATTTAACAATCCCAAAGAGTCTTCCAAATTACAAAACTCTGTTCCCAAATCCAGAGGGTGTTGTCAAGAATTGTTTTTGTCATGGGAGGCGATGGTTAAGGTTAAAATAGTTAGCAGTGTCAAGTCTTGAGCACAGCTACAGACAGTAAAAATGTACCTTTTCTCTACTTCATAATTCAAATGAACATTGGTTGCAAATTTAGTTCCATCTCCTTGTTAATGTTATGAATGTCGTATGTCATGTCCATTAATGTCATATGCTTAGTAGAATTCTCCCCCCCCTCACCAATACAACCTGTTGTTTGTTGAATATTTAGTCTTCAGCTGACTGGGCAGCCCACATAGTGATTAACCCTTCTGGAGCTTCAAGAGGTGAACATTGCAAATATAAAGCACTGCCACAAGAGCCTCAGACTCTGGCCTTACTGGCTTTTGTGAGGTAGGACAATCAGCCTTTTTTACATCCTCCAGATTTACATAGTCGGACATTATTGGAGTGCTAAAAATTTGTAGGTAGGAGTTGCTTTGAAATGTGAGAAATGAAAATATGAGTAGGATGAAAAAATAAAATGTTCATTTCATTTTTTTGTGTTCCTTTCAGCTCCAAACACATTAAGGTAGTAAATTGGGGTCAGTGATTCCCTCCCATCAGGGACTTTTAACAAAGCATAAACATAGGCCATTATGACAAATAGACCACTAGATCAAAACATTTGTCCCATCCTATTCCTGTAAGAATGGAAAATCAACTTGTTTTAATTCTCTAAGACTATATGCAGGGCTCTAACTAAAGTAGGGCAACTAGAGCTTTGTCCCATGGCACTAAAATGTAGAGGGCACTGTTAACACTTGTAGATCCTCTGCAGTGTAGAAATACCTGAACATGGTAAAAATAAAAAGCTGCCAGATCCCAACTTTTTTCCCTACCAGTGGTTGCACCCAGGTAAGCTCCCAGCTTGTGCCTCTCCTTCTCCTACTTTCAATTTACCACATACATTGTCCTTCCAGCAACAACCTCATGGTATTCTTTCCTCCCTCATTTGACTTGCCCAAGCACAAAAATTTTTAGTTAAGCTTCTGTTTATATGATAGCACCACATATCAGCATATTGGTTGTGCTCCTAATATATTGGAGCAGTTTCCAACACACTACCATGTGGCATATTGAGAGAAAGCAGCCATGGAAAAGCATGATAAGGTGATTTTATAATCTGTTATAAACCAGGTGCACTAGAATAGATCTGCATCGGTCCTAGATACTGTAGCCCTCTCCTTCGTGATAGAGACAGAATGTAGATCCCAGGAGAACACTTAGGATTATTTGGTGGCTATTTTCAGAAATTTCTGTGTGAACTATCCCTTCTACCTTTAACAGCTAGAGAAGTTACATCAATGGAAATTCCATTGGATATCTACTGTGGAGATATTAGATATGCATTTTAATTGAAAATATTTTGGGTTTTCTACGATTAATGTGAAAATATGTTTAATAGGAGTGTATCTATAGAGCTTGTATCAGATTGCATGCTATTTTGGGGAGGGGGGTGGGAAAGGAGGGGGAGAAAATTTAAAACTCAAATGCTTACAGAAGTGAATGTTGAAAACTAAAAATAAATTAATATAAAAATATTTTGGGTTTTCTTCATAGTAAAATCTACATACCAGCTTCATAGAATCTTGCATTCATTGGTGTTGTTCAGTCATTTTTCAGTTATGTCTGATTCTTCATGACCCTGTTTGGGGTTTGCTTGGCAAAGATACTGGATGGGTTTGCCATTTCCTTCTCCAACTCATTTACAGATGAGGAAACTGAGGCAAACAGGGTTAATCAACTTTCCCAGGCTCACACAGTAGTAAGTGCCCAAAGTCGTATTTGGACTCAAGAAGATGAGTCTTCTTGACTCCAGACTTAGCACTCTATCCCATGCGCTACCTAGTTGCCCTGCCTTGCATGTAGTGGGTGTTTAATAAATGCTGGTCAAATGAATAAGGGAGGTATCAAATGAATGAATGACAATTTTATATAATAGTAAGCCAGGATGCCTATCACTGATCCAGGGTCTTATTAATTTTGGAACAGAATTGCACTTCTTGCCACACCAGTCTGCCTAGAACCAGAAATGCAGTATTCTGTAGATGTTCATTTTTCTCAGTCACAGACTCATGGACATATTTTGATTGATTCGGTAAGTGACCATATGAATGATGTTTCCTTTGGACCTGATTCCCTTGGTAGGTTTATTTATAGAATATGTGGAGAGAATATGTTCCATCCTTTATAAATTTAAAACAATTATGGGCTAGAATTATGTTATGATATTTATTGCTATAGAATCATCATTAGGCAGGTCCATTTTATACCCCAATCAAAAGAATTTAATTATTTTAATTCCCAACTATTTTAATACCTTAGACTATGAAAATATCCTAATAATAATGGGTTTTCATTTGTAGGATAATATATGGTATGGCACTTGAGCACAGTTATAGTGAGATTATAGTAAATTAAAATTATATTAAAGCAAAGTTTAAGGTAAAAAAAAAACAGAAATACTTTACTGACTTTCCTATGTCTAAATTCGGATTCCACAAAGGAACCAGTAGGATCTACTGGAAAGAACATTTAACATAGATCAGTGCTACATTAGATTAGATCACAGATTTTTAGATCTGAAAGGGACCTTAGAGGTAATCTAGTCCAATACTATTATTAATTTTTTTACAGGTTAGGAAACTGAGACCCAAACAAGTAAAATGATTTGCCCAAGGTCACATAGGTGGTAAATGGCAGAGTCAGGATTCAAATCCCTGTCATAGGCCGATGAAATTAGAGCTGGAACGGATCTCAGAAGTCATATATTCCAATAACATCTTTTTTTAAAAAGATGATGAAGCTGAGACCCAATGACTTGCCGGAGGTTACAAAGGTACTAAGTGTCAAATATTCAATTGTTTTCAGTCATATCCAACTCTTTGTGTCCTCATTTGGAGTTTTCTCAGTAAAGATACTGGAGTAGTTTGCCAATTCCTTCTCCAGCTCATTTTACAGGTGAGGAAACTGAGGCAAACAGGGTTAAGTGACTTGCCCAGGGTCATACAGCTAGTAAGTGTCTGAGGTCAGATTTGAACTCAGGAAGAGGAGTCTTCCTTAATCCAGGCCTGGTACTCTATCCACTGCGCCACCTAGCTGTCTCTGAGTGTCAAAGGTTGGATTCAAAACCAGGTTTTCTGACTCCAATTGAAATGCTCTCTCTGCTATAACATGCTGACTCATAGATCTAGGTTCTAGTCCTGGTTCTAACAGTTATTGGGAGGTGATATTAGGCAAGTTCCTACTCCCTGGGCCTCAGTTTCTACATCTGTAAAATGAGAAGGGTGTGCCAGATGATCCCTAAAGTATCTGCTAACTCACTGTTCATTATTATTGGACTTCTTTGCAGAAGAGCATCAAGTGGGCTTCTGTTGATGAACAAAGTTGGGGCAGAGAGCAGAATGAAACGGAAGGAGACTAGTCTAACATATGTAATCTAGAAGATCATTATTTATGGGGGAAATAGGGAATGATATAATTCAAAGTCTAGATATATTGACCCCTAAAAAAGTTTAAATCTTCTGCTTATGTTTAAATCTTTTTCTTCTTTTCCTTCTCCTCTTCCTCTTCCTCCTCCTTTTCCCTATCACTTAAATTGCACTTTAAAGTTTGCAAAGCGCTTTATATATCATCTCATTTAATCCTCAAAATAACCCTGTGAGGTAGGTGCTATTATTCTCTTCCTTAGAGTATAATAATAGCAATAATGAGCAAACAGGCTGACAGAAGTAAATTGACATAGCTAGTAAATATCTGAGGCAGGATTCAAACTCAGGCCTTTGTAACTCCAGGCCAAGCACTCTATCCACTGCACCATGTAGCTGCCTAAGCTACTTCTATAAGGCTAATCCTTATCTTGGCAAGCTTCTGGCCCATTAGCCAGAAAGCATACACTTGTTATTTGTCACCAAGCTAATTTTATATACATTGCTATAAAAATGTGTTTGGTATCTACAAAGTGTTTTAGAATATAAAACTATCATCTCTTCATAAATCAAGGAATGGACTTGAATTGGCAAACCTATAAATCTGAAAGTCATTAGAAAAGGTAAATGGTGGTCATATAGAATAGAAGGGTTGAAGAAGACCTTAATGCCATTCAGTCCAACTGTCTGGTACTGGGAATCAATAAATTAGTGATTTATTAACAGTTGCTGTATGCCAGGCATTGTGATGAATCGAAACAGTTCACATTTTGAGAAGTGTTAAAAAAAAATAAAAAACAAAAACGAACTCTTAAGCCTTGGTAGATTTCCCCCTCTCATCCTCCTCTTGTTTAATCAATCAATCACTGTGCCAGGCACAGTCCTAGGCAATTAGGACTATCTTTTTTTTAAATATTTTTTTCAGTGAACAGAAATCTATTTTTTCTCCTTCTTACCCCCTCCTCTAACATCAAAAAATAAAAAATTAATTAAAAAAAAAAAGAAAAACAGGGGCAGCTAGGTGGTGCAGTGGATAGAGTACCAGCCCTGGATTCAGGAGGACCTGAGTTCAAATCCGACCTCAAGACACATAACACTTACTAGCTGTGTGACCCTGGGCAAGTCACTTAACCCCATTGCCTAGCAAAAAAAAAAAAAGAAAGAAAGAAAGAAAGAAAAACAAACCCTTTGTAATAAATTTGTATAGTCAAACAAAACAAATTTTAGCATTGGGATAACAAAAAAAAAAGTCTTGATTAGCATTCCAAGTCTATCACCTTTCTGTCAGAGGTCCTCTCAAATTATGACTTGTGTTGATCAGAGTTCTTAAGTGCTTCAAAGTTGTTTGTCTGTAATGCTGTTGTTATTGTATAAATTGCTCTCCAGGTTCTGCTCCCTTCACTCTGCATCAGAACAAACAAGTCCTCCCAGATTTCTCTGAAACCATCCCCTTTATCATTTCTAATAGTACAAAAATATTCCTTTACATCCATATATCATATAGTAATTTGTTCAGCCTTCTTCGATTGATGGATACCCACTTAGTGTCCAGCTCTTTGCAATCACAAAAAGAGCTGCTATAAATATTTTTGTATATGTGAATCCTTTCCTCTATCTTTGACCTCTTTGGGGCATAGACTTATTGGTAGTATCACTAAATCAAAGGATATACACAATTTAGAAACTTTGGGGATCTCATTCCAAATTGCTTTCCAGGAGGCAGCTAGGTAGCACAGTGGATGGAGCACTGGCCCTGGAGTCAGGAGGACCTAAGTTCAAATCCAGCCTCAGACACATAACACTCACTAGCAGTGTAACTCTGGGCAAGTCACTTAACCCCAGTTGCCCTCACCAAACTGCTTTCCAAAATGGTTGAACCAGTTCATAACTCCCACTTGAGATTATCCTTAAAAGATTGATAACGCCTTGAGACCAGCATCTTATTTCTCTTTTTATCTTCCCCTAATTTTAGCATGGTACTCTATACCTAGTGTATGCTTAAAAACATTTTTGTTATGAATACATAAAAAATGGATGAATGAATGAATCATACAGAATCCCAGGATAAGAAGCTCCTCAAAATCCATTTAGTCTAATCTATGTCTAAGCATCTTAACACACAAGTTGACATCCAACCTTTGTTTGAAGACGTAGAGGAAAGAAAATCCCATTGCCTCCTAGGGTACCCCATTTCAAGTTTAGATAATTGTATGGATACTATTTTACCCTGCTGTCGGTATTGTATGTTGGAAGGAATTTGATTTAATATTAACCTAAGCAAACATTATTTGGAAATTAAATGTTCTGGAGAAAAAGTTATATAATACATCCCACATCTAAATCTAAATTACATTTAATTTTCCAGGTCACTTCTCCCCACCATTAGCACAGATTACCAAGAGCTGACTTAATCATATTTGTTTTGATACTTTAAACACCTGTGACTTCATTGACGTATGTACTCCCTTCAGTGTATGTATGTATGTGCAGTGTATTGATGTATGTACTCCCTTCAGAAAGGGCACTGGATTTTAAATTGGAAGAACTGGATTCAAATCCTATTTCTGCTACTTATTACTAATATTAGATTGTACAAGTCATTTAACCTCCCTTGACTTCAGTTTCCTCATCTATAATTTCAGGAGTTTGGACTAGATGATCTCTAAGTTCCCTTTCAGCTCTGAAGCTATGACATCATGATCTAGCACAGAACACAATTTTTCTACCACCTTGTAAAAGGTCATCATGAGTTGCTGTGTCTGAAAAAAGAAGTCATCAGCTGCAGGCAACCTTCTGATGATGATCTATTTTGTACTTAGCCAAGCTGGTCTTGGGATGACAGACCATCACCAGACCAATATCCACACCCTTTCCAGCTTAATAGAGCCTGCCAGAGCTTCAGTTACACTGGTATAGCCTTTAGAAAGCCCAGATGATCACAATGTAATGATGAGGTATCATAGAACCCATTAGTGGAAGTTAAAGAACTATATTCTTGTTTATGTGTCAATTTTATTTCCCTCTCTCCTGAAAAAGAAAATGCTGTACTAAAGCATTCGTATTGTAGGGTTCATCACGACCCTCATAACATTTTTCTTACATGCAAATGTGTATCCAGTCTATCTTGATCTTATATTGTTAGAGTTGATTCTGTGATTTCATTTTTTCTTCTTGTGTCTACCATCTTCTCTCTCAGGATTTGTTTTTGTCAAATTGGAACCTGTTTTATGGGCTTGCTTTCTGAGCTGCTCTGTGCACTGTACTTCATGACTAACTTAAGACAATAATTCAGCATAATAAGTACATTCTCTTTAATATTTCACTCTAGCCGTTGATAAAAGTTTAAGATAATTAAAAATGAAAGATTGAATAGTATTCCTCTGCTTAAGAATTACCTTTGGATAGCTTCCCTAAAGCTTAAAAATTATCAACCATTCTTCAAAAATAACCCTCTTACCAGTTATGTACCCATTTCACAGTTACATAGTCCAAACCATAGTTTCTCAATTTATTTCATTCATTCCTTCATTTTGAGAGGCAGTATGATATTGGAGATAGAGTGATGGATTTAGATGAAGGAAAACCTTGGTTCAGATTATGCCTCTGATACTTATGACTATAAGCAAGTCACTTAAATCCTCATATATAAAATGAAGAAAATAATAACTATAACACCTACCTAATAGGGCTGTTGTAAGGATCAAATGAAATAAAATGCTTTGAAAATATTAAGGTGCTATATAAATTTCAGTTATTCTTATTTTATTAAAAATAATTCTAAATTGCCTGAAATTTCATCTGGTTGAACAATTTGTGAGGTCCTGCCCAGTTCTGACTTTATTATTAGGAAGGATTAAGTTTTCTGACTGAACTCAAGAAGCATCTTTACCCAGAATGAAGTATGCTCAGTTTTGTAGATAAATAACCTCAAGCATACAGGCCAGTTAGTTTCTTGGTATGTTTTATTCTAGGTACTTCATTTCTTGTCTTCATTGATTAGCCTTATGCAATTTGAATTGGTTCTTGTTAAAATGTAAGTTGCTTCCTCCTGGATACTTACAAGACTCCCTAAAAATGAAACTCTGGAACATGGTTATCGTGTTTATGAGTGAGTCAAACCAATGGTTCCTTTGTCAGCTTGGATTTTTTTGATTTGCACTCTGCCCTCAATTGTCAATATTTATGGGCCATCTTATTATATGATTTTCTGGAGTATCATATTCAGATTCCTTCATTCTTCATATATTTCCTAAGAGGCCAATAATTTCTAGACCATTGCATCCAGGCTCCAGGTTCCAGGCTTTAACTTTGTTGCTTTGGGAAGATCTGAGGTATCTTACAATCTTGACACTTTTTGTTTCATTTTGTTGATTTTTCTTTCATCTCCTCATTTTTTATTCTTCTTTTCCCTCTCCAGTCTCATGAATTCCACTGTTTCATTAAGATTTTTCACTGTATTTTCTACTTCTTAAAAATTCTCATAATCACCTTCCTGAACTCTTTATTCAACAATCTTATTAAGTTTTGCAGATATTATCTTCAAATGATGAGATATTTATATCTCATTATTATTTTATTCATCTCTGAAAGTTTTTATGGTATAAAAACCTCCAGAGGAACAGCCATTGCAGTCTTTGTTCTTTCTTTCTGCATATTTCTCCTCAATTTGTTTTATTTTATAGTCTCTATTCATACTATGTATTTGGACCTCTTTTTTTTCCACTCATTTCTTCATTTTGGGAAGTTAGCTTTCCTGTGAGATTTTCCCTGTAAAGGTTTCATTCTTTTTATCTTTTCTTTGTTGTCCTTCTTGTTCAATTTGTGTATTTGTTGTCATATTGAGATGGCACAATATTTTTGCAGTCTACCATGAAATCTAGTCACAGTAGCTCTCAAAGACTCTCTGTTAAATTTTAGATATCTTAATTGGTACAGGAAACACCCAAATCAATGAAATTACATATCCTCGAAGTATTGACACGTTATAGACTGATTGTGTTATATTTGGCATATATTGTAGAAATGGTTGGTTTAAAATACTAAAAAGTGCTGAACAAATCATGTAAGTATTTGTATGCTTAATAGAACCCAGAACAACAGATTGTTGAATGTTTTAATTATATATTTATAATTCTTTTTTATCAAAAGCTTGGCCTTATTCCCCAAATTGATTCAGTAGAGAATTTCTGCAACAAACAACATTTAGATGAACACCAACTAAACAACTGTATTGAAATTGCTTCCAAACCACATCCTCAAATTTTGCCTGACTGGTGTGAAAGACTTATAGTTAGCATATCTGCTAGGATACACAATGGAGCAGTTGGTAAGTACTTGTTTGATAGATTCTACTTAAATGTTATCTTGATGTGATTTTTAGAAAGAGAGAGCAGGTAGAATTTCTGTAGCAACAGCTCCAACTATCTAAAAAAGGCACAAATCCTATCTATATGTCCCAGGAATACTTTATATATGTTGTGTGCCATAGTTTATTATGCTAATTAAATTACAGATCTTCAACTGTTCTAGAGATAGGAAATAGGAACAAGTTCATCTGGTATCATTCAGATATGAAGTGCTACACAAGCTGTTATTTCATAGCTTCACCATTGCTGATTCTCACAGCCATGTAAGGAGAAGCCTGGACTGACACAGACACCCCCATACCCAATAATGACCACATAGGGAAAAGAGATCCTTAAACATCCAAGTACCATCATCTTCCCCCATTGTGCCTCATCTCCCAACTTCTCTCAGACTTCTCCAACAATTACTCTATTTCTTCTCTAAGTACTCTACAATCTCATTTGCTTACCTCTATGGCCAATCTCTGCACACACTCAAACCACTCAAAGACCAATGCCCTTCCTACATTCCAGGTCTCATAAGTACCCAAGAAGAAATAAAGAAGCAGCAATTCACTCCCTACTTCAGCCATTTTTCAGCAGCTTTGGAGGATGCATCCCATCACAGTGTGCCCAGTATTACCTACAAGCAGTTTCATCATATAATACAAATGTGTATAAATTTGTCTTAAATTCTTAATTGGTAACAATATTTAATCCTGCACTCATGAGTTTATTTTCTTAGAACTGTAAACTATCCATGTTAAAAGGTACCTTAGAGATCATCTAATCCACTCTCTCATTTTAAGGAGAGAAAAATAAGACCCAGAGAAGTTAAGGAACTTTCCCACGGTCATACTTAATGTTAGAGCCAAAACTAGAACCTATATCTCCTAACTTCCAAACATTCTTTCCATTACAATGCATTATCTCTGGATATCTTTATATAGATACTTTCGGCATGGGGGCAGGAAATTGAAACAGGAAGCTAAGAGGGATTAATATAGGCTAATTAGACAGGGCCCTTTCCCCTAAGATGGAAGGGGACCTGCAGATAGAAAAAGCTAGAATTATTGATGAGTCCCTGAGTTCTATCCCTGAAAACAAAGGAATTCTACCTACTTTTTGTTTCTTATCTGATATGCTTTCAATTGGTTTTTTTAAAGGTATCTTGGATCAAGTCTTGAAGGCTAGGTATGAATTGTTAGAGAAAGTGCAAAGGTAAGGGACAAGTTAGACCAGACAACTTCTAAGATCCTTTCCAACTCTGCGGTTTCAAATATCCCTTGAGGAAATTAAGTACAGGGACAACTTCTTCTGATAGCTAAAAAAAAAAAGTATGTTCCACATAATATTAAACACTTTCAAAATCCAAAGCATTTTTTATAAATTAACAAATTATTTTCCCCCCTAATTCTTTCCATTCTTTGGAATCATGACCACTGATGTGCCTCTTTCCAAATTTTAACTGTGATTATCATAGTTTTGTTATATATTACAGGAAATTTATATTTTAATAAATTATAATTAAAATCATATTTTTATCTATTTCTGTCAGTTACCCCATCCTTCATGAGTAGTCATTCTACCACAGATGTCCAATAGTTATGTCATTCAAATATTTGGTGCATTGGGGGGAAAACACTGGATTTGGGCAGAGGACTTGGGTTTTAATCCCAATTCTGCCATTTATTACTTTGGTCACCTTGGGTAAATCATGTAGATTCTTTGAGCCTTGGTTTCTTCATCTATTAAATGGAGAGGCTTAACTAGATTATTTCTATTTCATTCCAGCCCTAAATCTTTGTTCCTATAATCCTGCTTTCTACTATGTTCATGGACATTCCCATATGTTGACCAAATGGCCCTAGCCCACCAGTGGGCAACAGGAAGACAGACTAGGACCATTTGCTACCACTGAGTGAAGCTATGACCCTATCTCTTCCCTAATCAGTCCTCATTGCCCCACTGACTAGTCCCCACCAGATTCATAATACTCAATTATCAGGATTTTGACTCTATATCCTTACCTTTGGTGTATATATCCCAGAGCCCCATTCCCCACTAACGTTTGAACCTACTATCCTCTGTTTGGTGTTCAAAGCCCTTCAAAACCTGCTCCCCCTTTTCCATTCTTATTACAGCTCCATTCTTACTATGTTATCCAGTAACATTGGTCTCTTTGCTGTTCTTTGCATTAGATAATCCATTTCCAGACTCCAGGAATTTTCATTGGCTGTCTGCCATGCCTACAATGCTCTCCCTCCTCATCTCTGCCTCCTGGCTCTGAGGGCCTCAGTCAACTCCCAGCTAAAATCCCCCTTTCTGCCAGAAGCCTTTCCCAATCCTCCTTAATGCTAATGCTTTCTCTCTTTATTTCCATTTTATCTGGTATATAGCTTGTTTCTACATAGTTATTTGTATGTTGTCTTCCCCATTAGATTGTGAGGTCCTTGAGAGCAGGGTCTGCTTCTTTCCTTTCTTTGTGTTTCGAGTGCTTAGCAGAGTACCTGGAACATAGTAGGTGCTTAATAAATGTTTATCGACTGACTGGTAAGGTGCCACATGCTCTGCCATTACTCCTGAATGTCCTTCAGGCTTACCTTCTGCCCTACTCCTTCCCCTGCTCAAGCATTACCTGGCCTTTCCATCTGTTATAAAAATGAATGCTCCTTTAAGTGTTGTCTCCTCCAGTTAGATTACATATTCATTGGGAGCAGGAACTATCTCAAATTTCTATTTGTGTTCTCAATACTTAAGATATTGTGTGGCATAGACTGAATGCTTAATAAATGGTTTTTTATTCTATTTAATATCTCCATACTCTATTAACCATACTTGTCAACTTGAGTATTTGGTTGCATCAAATGCTGCTTCAGTGTTAATGAATTGGCTGTATTCCAGCACCTCATGATCAGGGAGCTTGTACTATCACTTCATACTAATTTTGCCTTATACGTGTCATTAATGAAACAGATCAGAAAGTCAGATGGGCTGTGTGAGAGGCAGCATGGCATAGTAGATGGTGTTCTGGACCTGGTGTCAGAAAGACCCAGCTTCCAACAGGGAGGAAGATGACACTGGCTGGGTGACCCTGCGTGTGTCACTTAACCTCCCTGAGTTTGAGTTTCCTCATCTGTAAAACGCAAATAGTTACACCTATAGTGCCTGCCTCTCAGAATTGTTGCAAGTTTCAGAAGAGATAATAGATATGAAGGGCTTTGCAAGTGTTAAAGCACTAAATGGATGTTGACAACTGTTATCATCTAAGGCAAGTTCAAGTCTTACAGCCACTGAGGCAAGACGTGCCAATTGTTCCATCAGTTCTGAATTTGGCACAGAGCTTAAATGCTGCATTAGGGCCAAGACAGACTCATTAAGGATAACAAGGATGGCAAAGGTCTAGCTCCATATGACCGCAATTCCCTCAGGCCACTGTCTCTAGTCTGGATAAGAATGATAACAATAGCTAGCATTTGTATAGCATTTTAAGGTTTGCAAAGCACTTTACAAATATTATCTCATTTTATCCTCACAACAACCCTGATAGGTAAATGCTATCATTATCCCCATTTTTTACAAATAAGGAAACTGAGACTTAGAGAACTTGCCTCTTCCCATACAGCTAGTAAAACATGTAAGGCCGTATGTGAACTCAGGTCCTCTTGACTCCAGGCTCTGTCTGCTGGGTCATGGTTCTGGGCATAGTTTCATTTTCCAGAACCAGACCAAGACTGGAATTCAAGAATGATGGTGAAACAGAAAACCATGTTTCCTTGCATCCTTTGTGAGTGAAGGAAAACTCCATTGGTGCTAGTATATTGTCAATAAAGGCTATAGTTAGATGAAAGGTAGATATGATTTTGTTTCTGTTCCTTGAGATCCAGAACTTGGCTGATGCAGGCCTAATTCCTGCATAGTTTGCACCTGCTCAGGAGTTTGTGGATCTCATTTAAAATCACCCCAAGAAGAGCCCCGATGATTCTTTTCCTCACTGCCTCCCTCTCCTTTCTTTTTGCTTACAGCATGCCAGTGTCACCCTAAGGGTTCCATAGGGTCAAGCTGCAGCAAACTGGGAGGCCAGTGTCAATGTAAAGCCCACGTTGTAGGGCGCTGCTGTGATCAATGTTCTGAGGGAGCCTATGGTTTGGGACACCATGGTTGTCACTGTAAGTACCAAAGGATAAGTGTTAAAAATCATGCCTAACACCTCACACACACACACACACACACACACACACACACACACACATTTTGAATCAAATACAGTCAAAGTGTAGTTGAATATTTTAGGAATTGTCTTTTTTTTAAAGTGAGATGGGTGATTTAGGTAAGAGTGAACTAAATTACACATATAAGCTAGCTTCATTAGTCAAATTTCAATTTTATTTGACTAGAGACTTGTAACTAGGAATGTTTGTACTCAAAGCAAACTCCACAAACAAGACTATGAGAGACCTTCCCTCTCTGTTAATTATTTCCTATTTATCCTGTACATAGTTTATTTGTCCATATTTTTTACTTGTTAGATCTACATTTAATCATGAGCTCCTTGAAGGAAAAGACTGTCTTTTGCCTTTCTTTGTATCCCTAGCACTTAACACAGTGCTTGGCACATAGTAGGCATGTAATATATGCTTATTGACTTACTGACTGGCTACCTCAGCTGTTAGGGAACCGATACAAAGCCCAATTGGCAGTGAGTAAATGGAATGGTGACCCTGGAATACTGGCATGAGACCATTGCTCATTTCGTCAAAGGCCTGCAAATATTGTCAGCACCCTCCAACGTGGGGAAGGGAAGAGATGTGTAGAAAAAGTCTTTAAAGAAAAAAAGCATTATAGAAAAAGTCTGGGAGAGTCAGGAGCACAGCCTCAAAAAGAATGAAGACATTGCTGGCTTGGGACTCTTCCTTAAAATGGAGGTTCTTGGAGAAACCAAGCCAATCACAGGGAGAAGCTAAAGGGGGAAAGGTACTTCCAGTGTGTGAAATCCAGAGATGGCGTGAGCTTCCAAAGTGAACAGGTTTCTAGGGCATTGTAGAGACAGTCCAGAGAGTCAAGAGTGCAGTTTGGAGAGGAATGAAGAAGTATATGAATGTAAACTCTACTAGACTTTAAGCTCCTTGAAGGCAAGGATTGTTTTTTTCTTCATTTTTGTGTTTCCCCTACACTCAATAAATATTGCTTGACTAAATAATTATAAAACATAGCTCTCTGTTAAAAGCTTTAAAAACTTTGAAGGAACATTGGTCTCTATTGTAATTTACACCAGAGTCTATCTAAGAACTTCAGTTAGTTAAATTCCCCTTTGAGGTAGTAAGAGCATGAGTAAATGATTCAGGGAGTTGGTGTACTCTTCTGGTAATTTTCTACTTAGGTAGAACTTTCTATCCAATTGATGCCTGGCAAAAGTCACTGAGGACAGTTTGGATGAATAGTTTTTTTTATCCTTTTCCCTTTGGGGAGTGGGTAGAATTCATTGTCCCTGATCGAATCTCCACCCACAAAGCCTTGTTCAGGGTATGACCATTTCTTGAGGGCTCTACTTCTATTCCTCCTTTCCTATCTCACCTTCAGGGTAGGGGGTGGAGGAAGGATGAAGAAAACCCAGGTGTCCCTGGTACAGAGCCACATGTTTACTTGGTGATAATGAAATTAGATTATGAAGTCTATGGAAAAGTTCCTAGTTTCATGTGGCTTCCTTTCCTTGTCAGTTGGAAAGCTTAGAAAATACAAATAATAAATAAAATTCATAAAATACTCTGCACCCCTGGGCAGTCTCTTGACTTCCAGGCTGTTGGGTTGGTCTCTCAGCAGTTGAATTTGGTATAATCAATTATCCACAGGTCCAATGACACTCTTAATCACACTCTACGTATATTCTTGTTTTTCTGTAGAAATCTATTGTTTAAAAAAAATGAAATAACCAGCAAACAAAATTTAATGTAACAGAGAAACACTTAATACTCAATGATACCACCAATTATATGCATGTGACAATAAAATAGAAAGGAGAATAAAAGGGTAAATTCACCATTGTTCCAGTGATTTTTCCAAATAGGCATAATTCCTTGGCCCCCTGCTGAATTTTCTTAATAAACTAAGCAATATGCCCTGGAAAGAAAAAAGCTTGAGCCAATACACAAAACTTAGGTGAAGCCTTCCCAAAAGTGTCCAATATCTGCTACTACTGCTGCTGCAGCTCCCTCTTACTCTCTTTCATTCTGTTACTGTGTCTCTCTCCAGAGACATTTAAAAACCACCACTGTAGCAGAAAACCTTGCCCTCAGATACCTGTCACATGATACCAGTTCTGTCTTTTTCCAAGACGGGAAGAAATACAACTCTCTGGAGTCTGTAGTGATTTAGGCACCCTCACAAGCTCTATTATAATGACTGTTACACAATAAACTTACCTGAGTCAAACAATCATATTCTTCAAATGTCATTTCATCAAATGAAGAATTGTTTCATTTGCATGTGTGGAAATTCACTCAGTCAGTCAAAAAGCATATGTCAGGCACCGTGTTAAGTGCTGGAGATACAAAGAAAATACAGCTCCAGACAGGAGATTCGAGTGATTTTTCAGTCACCCCCCCCAAAAAATGAAAAAATGAAAATAAAAAAGTAAGCACCCTCCTATACCAACCTGGAAAATTTGGATGTAAATTGAAATCTTCCTAGAAGGCTTATTCATATATAACATTCATTAAGATTTTTCAGTGCAAAGAAAAATAAAATACCTAGAAAAATTGATTAACTTGGATTACCTAAGGGAAATTTTAAGTCATAAGAAACTTGGTTTTTTTTTTTTTTTTCGTTTTCTTTTGCTGAATCAAAAGGTATTGGATGCCGGCTTTGTATAAAGCACTTTGTTAAGACTTTAAGCTTCAACAATTGTTACTCATTTTGATTACAAAATTATTTTTCTCTGCCTGTGCCCCATTGTTCTTCTCCACAAAAAAGAAAGCAGCGAGTGAGACTACTCGGCACATTGTTTCTTTGCTTTATCTAGCCTGCGAATGCCATCCTCAAGGCTCCAAGAGCACCATGTGTGATCAGGTGACAGGGCAGTGCTCCTGCCACAGAGACATCGAAGGTCGCCACTGTGATCAGTGCTCGGCTGGTTATTTTGGATTTCCCAACTGCCAACCTTGTCCCTGCAATGGGTTTACAGAACTTTGTGACCCAGAGACTGGATCATGCTTCAACTGCAGAGGATTTACAGCTGGACATAATTGTGAAAGGTATAGAATTGGGACAAACTGGGAAAAGCATCTGTTTCATTTTGCCTTTGAGTAACTGAGTAACTTCTCTGAAAGATCACTGAGTAGATATTTACTTACTCAACAGTACAGAGTTTAAAACACCTGTTCTAGAGGTTTTTGGCAGTCCACTAGTCCACCATTCAAATCAATAAACATTTACTGAGCAAACAACTGTGGGCAAGGAATTGTGTTAGACTTTGCTATATAAAAGAAAGATTAGATAAAAATATAGATATATGTGTATGTATATATACATATATTAATGATCCTATCAAAATACTTTGCTTTATAACAATAAAGATAGGGCCTGGATCTATGATTTAATTGGTATGAGAATCTCTCAGATGAGGAAATTCCCTTTACCAATGCAAACTGGTACCTTTTCTGCAACTTAAAGTCTTAGAGAGTTGTTTAGAGTGCTCAGCTTAAGTGACTTGGCCAGGGTTACACAGTCATTACATTCAGAGGCAGGTTTTGAGCCCCAATCTTTCTGACTTTAAGTCCATCTTTTTATATGCTATACTATGCTGCCTCTCTTTATAATAATAGCTCACATTGATATAAGGATTTACCATTTACAAAGTGCTTTCTCCACAACAACCCTGTAAGGTAGGTACGTGATCAGAGTTATTATCCCCCTTTGACAGGTGAAGAATCTGAGGCTTAGAAAAGTTAAATGATTTGCCCAGAGTAAGTGTCTGGTGGAATTTGAGCCCAGGTCTTCCAATGCCAAGTTTAGTGCTCTTTTTGAACCATGGCCATGTATATTGCATATTCCTAAAAAAGCGGCATGTAATGAAAATTTTTGAAATTGAGACACTTGTAAAGCACAATATTTAAAGGACTCTACAATGAATATATTTGTAAAATGAAGAATCTTTTAGCAAAGTAAATAGTCATTCTCTAATTTATTACATTTTTGGATCACATTTTCTTAAGGCAGAATTATGATTGTGTTTGCTTGTGCAAATACTTCTCAGGTACATATTTTGATCTATCTCTAAGGAAATTTTCTTAATAGGTGCATTGATGGTTACTACGGAAATCCTCTCTCTGGAAAACCATGTCTTCCTTGTCAGTGTCCTGATGTTCCTTCAAGTAATCAATATTTTGCCCATTCCTGTTACCAGAATTCTTGGAATTTAGAAATAATCTGCAACTGCCAAGAGGGTTATACAGGTATGGAATGTATTTTATCCTGTGTGTCTTTTCCCTTGTTCCACAGTCCTTGATTGTAGGCTGACACATGACCACAGTTTCATCATTTATCTGGCTTATACAAATGTGTGATAAAGAATATAAAATGAGCTGATGTGAAGAGAAAATTTATCAAATTTCTGCCTTATTGAGTTGAACAATTATATGAATCAAGAAATTAATTAAGGGAAATGCATCTTCCTCCAGTGTAATAGTTCTATAGCTAATATGCACCAAAAGACAGAAAACTAACTAAACTATATTTGAGTCAAATAAAGTCAATTTGTGTTGTTACTTCATTTGTGTGAGTACCTCTTTATGTGACATAGATTGAAATCCTTCTCTGTCTGTTATCTTATGTAATTTTACACATGTTTTCCCATACAGCATCTAGAAAGAATATGTATATTTCATGATTGTTCTTTTTAGTAGCAGAGGTATATCAATGTATTCTTCAGACTGCCCATCTAATGGTCTTCCATTCTTGCTACATGACTAATCCATCTCCTTTTCTGCTCAAATTTTTCAATAATATGTTTTATGCTGATGCTCACATATAAGTCATCAGACTACAACTTATTTTCACCTGCCACAATCTTTCCATTGTTCTTTGGATTTATCTTAGTCTCTTCTGAGCTTGTGGTTATTCACAGCCATATGCAAATTACCAGGAGAATATTAGTATTGGTAATGGTAAATGACCTTTTATGGCAGTAAACAGACTGGGATCATTTAAAGCAGGGAACAGTTTTCCAAATATGATTAAATTTAATCTGACCTTTCTTCCTATTTGGTTTTGGGTTAATATCATTGTTTGTCTGAAGCATCTACCCAATAGACATAATACAGATTAAATAATTCTGCAGACTACATACTAAGCTTAACATCATAACCTGGGCAATATGCATTCTTCAACCACTTTGTTTTTCAAGTATGAATTCATAAATAATCTTTGCTCTGACAAGTTCAAAGTCTGGCTGTACATAGACAACTAGTTAAGAGCCTGACAAGAGCCCAACAATGCTACCTGGCTGCAAATCCTAGAGAACAGTATTCTGAGAGGGATCCAAATTACAAATAGCCCAAAGAGCAATTGAAAGATGTCAAGTGGGTAAATCAGGCTGCAGCATTTTATCAATCATAATTTGTGCATCAGAATCATTATGAGATCATTAAAGAATCTTAAATGAGTTTTTAAAAAAGAAGCAAATTGATTGTATTAGTGAAAATGAGAAATAATATATCGATAGCTAGAGTGATAGCATTGATACAAGGTATTGAGGTTTGCAAATATTATCCACATATTAATTCATATGAGTCTCACAACCCCATTAGGTATATACCACAGGTATTATTACTCAAATTTTACAAATAAGAAATCTGAGGCTCAGAAAGTTTAAATAAGTTGCACATAGTTACAGATCCCATTAAGTATCAGAGGTATGATTTGTAGCATTTTCTCTCTTCAAGTTCAACAATCTGTCCATTGTACCGTATTGCAGTAGTGGTGTCAAACTCAGATAAAAAATCCCTATAGGCCACATATTAACTTAGAAAACCACAAATTCTCATTATCTATATCTTATTATAGTTTTACTTATCTTGTTGAACATTTCCCAGTTACATTTTAATCTGGTTCTGAGCACACCAAAGTAGTTCTTTTGGCTGCACATGTCTGGCCCCCCACGAATGAGTTTGACACCTCTGTGCTCTGTGGAAGCTTAATAGGCCAACATAGAGAAGGACTAGCGCGTGAGGAGCAAAGCATTATGATCTGTGTCAATGGAGGGAGTGCCCAGGCCAATAAAATCACAGTTGCATCAAAATATTCTATCGGGACGGAGTTGGATAGCAATTTCTCCATCTGTTATCAAAGTCATACCCTGGCAAATGCTTCAGTCTTATCCCTGAATTTCCAATGTTACAGGAAACAAGCCTTGGAGAAGGCATTTTCCTCCAAGGAATTTTTGTTCTAAATAACTATTAAGTATTTTAACATGTTTGCAAATATGTTTAGGGACTACAGAGTAAATGCAGATGGATTTATATTTTATGTCGAAACATTTTTTCCTTGTTTACTCTAATGTGCAGATGCTTTTTATAATACCTAAGGGAGCTCTTTCACTTTCCTATTCAATTTTTAAGTTATTTTCTATACTTCTAACCACTCCATTCTCTTTTCTTTCAATCTTTTCCTTTTTCATAGGTATTAAATGTGATGAATGCTCGACTGGTTTTTATGGAAATCCAAGAATATCAGGAGACCTTTGTCTACCATGTGCCTGCAATAACAATATAGATAGAACAGATTCAGAATCATGCAACGGGGTGACAGGAGAATGCCTTAAATGTTTACATAACACTCATGGGCCCAACTGCCAGTTCTGTAAACCAGGTTACTTTGGATCAGCACTCACACAAAATTGCAGAAGTAAGTTGGTGGTGTAAATATGGTCACAAAATCACAGCTTGTCATTTTCATGGCAGAACACAGACGCTCTCTTGAACTAGAACCCGGCATAATAATAATTAACATATATGTAGAGCTTTAAGATTTGCACCACACATAAAACCTCACTTGATCCTCACACAAAACTATAAGAAAAGTGCTATTATTATCCTCATTTTTCACATGGGGAAACTGAGGCTGGCTGTGATTAAATAAAATGCCTAAGGTCACACAGCTTGTAAGTGTCTGAGGCAGGATTCAAACTCAGATCTTCTTGACTCCAAGTCCAACCAGCTCAATCCTCTATGTCACCTAGTTGCCTTTTATAAAGCAAGTTGTAAGCAATGTTCTTTGGGAGCTTTTTTTTAGTAGCATTAATATTGCTAAGGATTCATGAAATAACATTAATTTAACTTAACATTTTGATTTAATAATTAATTGAAAAAGAAAGACTGGGTGAAGTGTCATTACACAAGTTGTAGTCATAGGCATTTCTTCTATAATATTCCTGAGTTTCACTTTTGGTGGTTAATATATCAATGTCATTAATGAAAATTTTCCTAACAGATTTAGTGGAAGACTATAGCCTATTCCTAAAACAATAAATTGTTCACTTTTGGGGGAAGTATGAAAACTTTAGAAAAATTGAAGTTGGAATGAGTAACTCTCTATTTCAGAGCAATCAGATGGAATTCAGTGGGCTCAAAAAATTAACATACTTGGCAAAAAATTAGCACCTTCCTTCCTAATTATAGAAAGAGATTTTTGGTGTGTCCTTTTATGTTTGAGTTAGAACATATTCAGACTATGGGAAATCACATCCCAAAGAAAAAGTGGTTCTGAGCTCTTTGGAAAAAGGGCACTACCCATTCCAAGTTGCAATTGTTTCATACTGTTAATAACTAACAAGTTTGTTTGTTTTATCTAAGGTTATAATTGTCTTTATTTTCCTAGAATGTGACTGCAATCCTTCTGGGGTGAACCATACTACCTGTCCAATGGGTGATGGAGCATGCCTATGTGACCCAACAACAGGATCATGTCCTTGCTTGCCAAATGTCATAGGTTTGGCCTGTGACCAATGTGCCAAAGGGTACTGGAATCTGGTCCCTGGTAGAGGATGTCAGTTCTGTGAATGTGACCCCCAACGTTCTCATAATACTCATTGTAACCAGGCAAGATCCCTTTTTTTAATGGTGCACGGTGTGTTAGCTTTGATGGTGAAACACAATAAGAGCACTCTCTGGTCCAAATCATATTAAATGCTTTTTGCTTTTTTGCTTTTGTTAATAATCACTTCTTAACAATGTTTTCTTCATGCTGGGACTAGGCTAGAAGAGAAAAAAGAGGGGGAAGAAGGGACTAGGGGGAAACAAAATCTGCCAACTGCATACTTTTGTCTGGAGTCAGTCCACTTCTGGAAAGTAAACATGAAATGTAGCAACAGAGATGATTTTCCTTTCATTACCTGATAAATGTTACCATAGGAAGACCTTGAAGTAGAATAAACCACATATGGCAACAAACTTGGGGCCTTTGGCTATAGACTAGCACATCAGATTTATAATCTTATTTTTTATTTAAATCAAAATGTCATTCCCTTAGGCTAGACAAACTACTTATTAATAAAATCAGGACTCTTTACTATAAGGGTTAAATATAAGCCCAAAGACAGGCTATGTGTCTTTCATCAGAAAACTAGTACTCTAATTTCAGAGAGGCTCATTACCAAATCAAGACAGAATTTTTTGATCACAGCAACACTGGAAGACCCTCTGAAAGGCATGTTGTTATGAAAAGCCAAATGAACTGAAGGTCGGGAATATCCATTCAAATACCATCCCAGTCACTTACTAGCTGGGTGACCCCGGGCCAGTTGTTTAATCTCTCTGGGCCTCAATTCCTCATCTATTAAATAAGGGGGTTGGATTTGATAGCATCTAATATCCCTTCCTACTATAAGGCTATGATTGTATTATCTCTGACATTGTAGAAGGATTATGGTGTGTCAGAAGGGGAAGTACCCAATAACAGAAGTGAAAGAACCCTTGAAACATTGAAGAATTAACTGTTTACCACCAAGCATCCCTGGGAAATACAAGCCAGTGACTGTTCTACAAAGTTGCATTATTTCATTGCACACTCAATTATACTAAAGTATGTGAGTGATTTTCAGTGCCCATTCAATAGAGTATTAAACCTTGAAAGAAAAAAAAAAGAATATATGACTGGCATGATCTATTTAGGGGGAAAAAAAGTTGAGTTTTTTTAAATAGTATAATGTGTTTTGGCTTTTGCCTAAGGAAACCTTTTTCAAAGGATCACCTATATCTCTTAGCAGTTACTGAAATAAATATGGTAGTGTAACCCAGTGGGAGCAATTAGAAATAGCAAGACACTAAGAGAGTGTCATAATCAGGACTTAATGATCTGAGTCCAAGGAGAATCAAGATAAAACTGGGATTATTGAACCCTACATAATATGATTTAAGCATTAAGGCTTTAGACTAAGGTATAGCTTACCTACAGTTACAGCATAAGATGTCTGATTATCCAGCAAACTATTCAAAGGTTGAATACCTGACTAGAGAAGTACTGCAGGTACTCAACCTTTGAATAATTTATAGTAGTGGAATCAGAATAGTTGGAAATTTGACCCTGAGACTTAATGTAAATACCTGACTCCTGGATACTGAAAACTGGAAGGAATTGGCATGCTGTTGATATTGCATCCTTGGGATTCCATGAGATTCCATGGATTCCATGGGAATCTGTGAAAGGAAGGGCCTGGTGGCACATAGCAAGGATTTTTGAGGGGAGTGCCTAGAGAGAGCACCCCTTCATAAAATTTAACTTGGCATCTTGATCTTTTAATCTGTGCCACTGCCAAAGATTTTCTGCCCTCTGCATTTAGGGAATAAATGTCCTCAGAATTCAGTAGAGTAATATGGCAGATAACTGAATTCAAAGCTATTTAAATAGCCATAGTGAAAAAATATTGGTTAATATCTCCAAGTCAACCTGGAAAAAAAGTTCTCAAATTGTATGCTCAGGATTCTGAATATTTTAACCTTCCTCAATAGTTGTATCAATAAATTTGATTTTAAAAAAAGGGAAAGAAATGCTGGTTGGATTTGCAGATGACACAAAACAATAGATCATTGGATAGATGGCAAAGTTATGGTTCAAACTGATTTTGCCAAGTTGCCATAGGAGCCTAAAGCAGCAAGATGAAGTTTTGCAGGAATAATTGTGAAATTATGCATTTGGTTTCAAAAAAATCAGTTGCATAATAATGGCATAGATGTAGTTTGGCAGCAGTTTATGTGAAAAACATGCAAGAGTTTTAGTTGATCTCTGCCTTAATATGAAATGAGAGTGTAAGACAGCTGCTGGCAAGGTAATACATCCTTAGACTACATTAATAGAAGTATAGTATCCAGGTTATGGAAGTAATTATCACACTGTACACTTCTCTGGTTAAACCATATATGGAATCTTGTGCTCACTTTTAAGAAGACAGCATATTTTAAAAGGATTGTTGACAAAGTAAGGTTCATCCAAAGGATCATGAGATGTCAAGGATACACAAAATCAGATCATACGAACAAATCGGGAGTATTTAGCCTAGAAAAGGGAAGGCTAAATTAGAAAGTTATAATAGCTGTCTTCAAATATTAGAAGGACTGTAAAGAAGAGGATGGTGAAGACATTGTGTTGCACTGATAGAATGAGTATTAATGAACTGAGATTTGGGTTCAACAAAATAAGGAGCTTTCTAACATCTAAGGATGTTAGAGAGATTGGAACCTATCACTAAAAATATTCAAGCAGAGGATAGATGACCATGTTTCATGATGTCATGGAAGGAATTCCTGCATTGAGTAGAAGGTTGAGTTAGATGAGGTCCTCAAAGGTCCTTTGTAATGCTAAGATTTTGTGATTTCATAATTCTATAAACTAGAATTGATATCCTTACAGGAAGTAATTGGCATCGAAAGATGAAAGAGAAGGTAGGTGGCCCTTTATCATTTTTGTTAGGTCACACATAGTGTTGACTACATGGAGAGAAAAGGTGGAAGTAGAATAGAATGTATCTACACTCTGTCTTATTTATAAAGTAGGCAAGAGGTTACAAAGGGGAGGCAACAAGGGGAAAACATTGGATTTGGTGTTAGAAGTTTGAATCGTTTCTCGATCACTACCTGTGTGACTTTGAGCAGTCACTTAACATGTGGACTTGGCTTCCTCATCGGCAGAATGAGAGTGTTGACCAGATGACATCTGGGGTCCCTTCTAGCTCTGGATCTCAGATCTGGGTTCAAATTCTGGCTCTGTCACTATCTGTGTGACCTTAGATATACCACTTAATGTCTGGACCTTAGTTTCCACATCTGTAAAAATTAGGGAGGTGGAATAGATGAGAGAATCTAAGTCTTCCAGCTCTTTAGCTATAACCCTATGACCAAGTGGCATTTAAAGGGCTTCCAGTTCTGTCTTTGATCTTATGAAAAATTAACTATACTTTAATTTCAACATTAGGAGATGTTGCATCATAGACATTTCCTACTTTTGGATGTGAGTGTCTTGCTTTTCTCTCTGCTCTTGGTCTGCCTGGCCTTTTAAGCACCCTCATGTTTCTTTCAGTTACAACGCCCCATACAAAGACTCCTTTAACATACCTTAGATAAGAATTTTATATATCCCATTTCTACTCCCACTCCTTGGAACAAGCCTTAAAAAATTACTATCAATTTATGTTGATGATGATTATATTATAGGCTCTCAAGGTTTCCCTCATTTTTTAACATATTGATATATGTTACCTATCTTTTAATAGTGTGATGGAGTCTTCTTGTCTGTTCCCTCCCCATTTTTTTTACAGGCAAACTAGCAACCATTTATCCAATTGCGCACACACACACACACACACACACTCTTGAGAGAGAGAGAAAGAGAGAGAGAGAGAGAGAGAGAGAGAGAGAGAGAGAGAGAGACCTCCTACAGAGTAGCTATATATTTACTCAAAGGCCAAAGCTTATGAAAGAGTGCAGGAATGAACTTTGGGTGCATTCCTGCCTATAAGGTATGAACTCATCTCGTATTGGTGCCACCAAGTCTGATGTTCTTAATTTCTTTTAATATTGAATAAATATTGCCTTAGCATTGCCAGTTTAACCAATATGCCTACTTGTTGTATGACCTAATTCCCTAAAGATTTCATTTTTGGAAGATGCACGCTAAACATTTTAAGGCAATGGCTTATTTGGACATTTTTCAAATTCATTCTATAGTTATATTTTAAAAAACTGAATGAAAGAATACCAAAAAAAATTTACTGTGTGCCTACTGTGTGCAAAACTAGAGGGAAAGAGTCAAAGTTTAGTTAATTCAAGAAGCTCTGCCCTCAAAGAGCTTGCAGTCTAACTGATGATTATTTTATTTGCCAAAACTAATTTCAGTTGAGGCATATGTAGCCATTGGGAGAAAAACTATGTTCAATTTAGTTGGTAAATTATGGCTATTTGGAGGACATACACACACACACACACACACACACACACACACATCTGTGATACAATCACCATTACCAAAAACAAGAGATTTTATGTTTTATTGAACAACATATTTATAGAATCTGGATATTTTTCTTCAATAACAATCACATAAAACTGATTGTACAAATAACACATTTTAAAACTTTATATATAAAATTTGATTTTTAAAAGAAGAAAAATTAGCTAATGTGAATACCATCAATTAAAGAAATGTAATATTATTGGGTTTTATAATTATAACAATGCTAATATGGCACTTGAAGATTTGCAAAGCACTTTATAAATAGTATCTCGTTTACTGCTCACAGCAACCTTGGGAAGAAGGTGTTATTATTATCCCCACTTTATATGTGAGAAAAATGAAGCAAGCAAAGGTTAAGTATCTTAGCAAGGGTCACACAGCTAATATCTAAGGTTGGATTTGAATTCAGGTCTTCTTGAATCTAGCACTCTACCCACTGTTATCACCTAGCTGCCGCATACAGCTAACAGACTTTACTTTCTTTTTCCTGTTTATTCAAGGATCTGAAAGGAAAAATGAGTTTATCTCCTTTTACAGTGTTTACACAATTTTTTATAATGACATGAAAGTTGTTTCAACTGATGTTTCACTTAGCTAAATTAGTTGGGAAATGAGTTTACTGAATTATCTGGTTCAATGATTCAACACTTGCTTATTGGACTGGATGCTCTGTTGGGTGGGATGCTAGTAGACAGTCTACAAAGACAAGGAAGACCAAATGCCTCCCATCTGGAAACTTATAGTCCCTCTTATCAAGGATAACAGAAGGCAGACAGGCATCACACAAGAAGTAAAGAGTCTGTGGAAAATTGGAGGAAGAAGAAAGTACATCTGGATATGAGAACCAAGACAGTTTCAGGAAAGAGATAACATTCTAAATTGGGCCTTGAAGGATGGGTAGAATTTGGATAGTTGGAGATGGTGATGAAAACCATTCCCAGCAAATAAAACAGCATGAGCAAAGATGGAGAAGCAGAAAGTCAAGGGCCATTTTCAGAGAAAAGATCCCATTCTGACTGGAATATCAGGTACCTCTAGGAGAATAGAAGAAAACAAAACTGGAAAGGTAATGGGGACAAAAGCATGAAAGGCCCTACGGACCAAATTGAGGTATTTTTATTTTACTTGGTAGCCAATAGAGACCCGTGAAAGGTTTCATAGTAGAAGTATCATAATCATAGCTGTGTTTTACATAGCTTAATCTGGAAGCAGTGATATTAATATAGAATCAGTCAATATGAAGAAATAATAGAAGAGGAAGAGAAATCAATTAGGCTATTTAAAAAGTATAGATGATAGGTAATAAAATATTGAATGAGAATGGTGGCAATGAAAATGGAAAGGTGACAAATATAAAAGAATTAATTGATAGATAACTAAACTGTCAAATTCAGACTATTATCTTAAATTATAATAATACACTAATAATAAGGATGATAACAAAAACTTATATAATGCCAGACATTGTGCTAAACACTTTACAATTTTTATCTCATTTGATCTTCCCTAGGAGATAGATGTTATTGCCCCCATTTTACATATGAGGAAATGGAGGGAGAAAGAGGTTAAATAACTTTCCCAAGGTCACACAGCTTATAAACATCTGAGGCTGAATTTGAACTCAGGTCTTCCTGACTCCAGGCCCTCTATTCACTAAACAGATTAGCTGTCTTCTTTATAGAATAAGAATATAATAACATATACTTAACACTAAAACTACCCTAAATATAATTATTCTTTTTTCAATAATTCAAAAAATTCTTCAGGATCTTACCATGCTACCAAAAATGCTTTAGTAATGAAAGCTTTCTTCTTGTTTTGTTACTAGATGAAATCTTGTGGTGGAATAATGGTTGGATAATCATATGAACTGTTTTCCTTCTTGTACCAATTATTGAAATTGTTGGCAAGAATATAGTCCAAAGTCAATTGTTTAGGAAAGTCACTCCAGAAAGAATTTTCATATTGGGTAGGAAGTTTGAGTAGGTGACCACTAAGGTACTATCTAATCCTAAGATTCTGAAAGATCTGATCATAATGACTTTTTCTCCCTTTTTTCTTTGGGTGTATATACATATGTGAGTGTGAGTGTGTGTGTGTGTGTGTGTGTGAGAGAGAGAGAGAGAGAGAGAGAGAGAGAGAGAGAGAGAGAATTTTCATTTCCCTCCACTGCATTCAGAAATAAGGTACAGAATTCTATCTGTGTGGTGACAAGAAAGTCCATTTCTAACCCCATTTATTGTCTTTATCCTATGTGGATTTGCAAACAAAACTGCTGCATTTAAATATTTTATTTAACTTTTTTAATTAAAAATAAATCTGTTTTTCCCCTCCCACCTCCCCCATTGGAAAAAGGGGAAAAGAGCAAAGCAAAACCCTTGTAGCAAATATAAAACTGCTGCATTTTAAATAAAATATTCCCAGGCTAATTTCTAGAAACTGCAAATTGAGTGTATAAAATTTTCTACCAAATGAGACATTGAGTGTTCCACCAGATCCTTGGAATCTGTTATCCTTATGGGGAAACTCCCATAATTATATAAGAAAAGAATCTGTCCCACTTCCCTTTATCTGTTTTGTTTTCATTTGCATCTGTGTATGTCTCTCAGTTGGGAACCACCTGTCCCTTAGCAGCTGGGAGCAGACGGTATATCACAGATGGGGAAGCCAGAGCACGTCTGCACCATCCTCCCCTCCTTGTTTCTTTTCCTTTGCTTGCTCTAAGCCATGGGAACCACCCCTCCTCTGTCTTTACACAGCTGTATAGGCCAAATCACAGGAGAGGGAAAAAATGATTTTTGTTAGAATTAGTTCTTCTTGTATCATAACATACTCATCAATTCCTCACCCATGACTGTTTTTACAGTTTACAGGCCAGTGCCCTTGTAAATTGGGATATGGTGGAAAACATTGCAACAAATGTGAGGAAAATTACTATGGAGATCCCCAGGTGCAATGCATTGGTAAGTATTGGCAGTTACTCTAAAAAACTATGTGGTTAGTTATTTTTTGTCTTAAAAAAACAAGTTTGCCCTGATGAGGATACAATTCAAAAGATATCTTGTTTTATATGACTATTTGATGAGTGGTTTTAACAGTGTGGACTTAATTAACAATGTCATGTGGTTTGGTCTTACTTCTGAAAATATTCTTTTTATAACCTTAAGAATAAATTTGAATTCTCAAAGGAGACCGAAAGAAGATAGATTGATCACAATGGACCAGACCCTTGAGGGCAATGCAAATATGCCTTTGCATGGATTTCCTGTTGTTTTAAGAATACCGAGAATGAATGTTAACTTCACTGTGAGTTGGGGGGAAGGGGTTCTCTGGGAAGAGAATCAGGGGCCATCAGCAGGGTAGGAAAGCTCCCAAGACTCTGTGTCCTCTAACTATCATACTTGTATCCTGGCTGGAGTCTGGGAGATAGATTTCTCTTAGTCAACTCCCAAACAAAACTAATCCAGAATCTAAAGAAGGTAAAGAATTAGCCACTTGATAAGGCTATCAATGACATGTGTCATTTTGGCAGTCAGGGGACCTAGGGAGGCTTTTTCTGCATATCATGAGAATGTTCTCATGTGTCTTCTGATGAGCTCTTAACACAAATGTTTCCCAGTTGCACTCTATTTACAGCTTTGGGTTCTCAATAATTCTTCCAGTGTGTAAACTACTCCCTTAGTTTTAAAATGGAAATGCTCATTTAAAACCCAGGAATTGTTAGGATATCTGGAAAATCTGGTTTATGGTGTCCCTTAGAGTGTGCAACTCTTGCATTTCAATGACAAGAGACTTTCATTGTACTAATAAAATGATTTTCATCTCTTATACTGAGGCAATGGAGGAGAAATTGCAAAACTGTGGCCCTGAGCAACAGGAGAATAACTGTGGTTAGAGATGTGACTAATAGAGACTCAATTAACAAAATGGCCTGCATCTTGAATGGAGTTGCTAAAGATAAGGGTCATTGTAAGAAAGCAGAATTTGCCACAAGCTGCTGAAAATAACATACTCCTGACACCTAAGGGGTCTTGAGGAGTCCTGTGGATCAGAACAGAAAGCACTGGACAGATGGCGTCTGCTTGGGGAGCCTAATTAGTTCATCAGTCCCTCATTAGCATTTGCCATTATTTTTACTCTGAAAATCAGTTATGTTTATTACTTCTTGATCCTTACTGTAACTCCAAGGAGAGAGTGACAGCATATATAGTTTAGTGGCTGAAGTCCTGGAATTGGAGTTTAGGAAGGTCTGAGTTGGCATCCTGCCTCACACAGCAGTAACTCTGGGCAAATTATTTAACTTCTCTCACCCTGTTTCCTCATCTGTAAAATAAGAGTGATGTCTGTAGTACTTATTTTACTAGGTTGTTATGAGGACCAAATGAAATAATGGATATTACGTACCAATTTAATGAGTAAAGGATTCTACAAGAAACCTTCCCCAACCCCTCTTAATTCTAGTGCCTTCCCGTATTAATTATTTTCTATTTATCCTATATGTAGCTTGCTTTGTAAATATTTGTTTGCATGTTATTTCTCCCATTAGATTGTAAACTCTATGAGGGCAGAGACTGTCTTTTGCCTCCTTTGTATCCTCAGTCCTTAGCACAGTGGCTGGTACCTAGTAGGTACTTAATAAATGTTAATTGATAGTGAAACAGGACAGGCTCATATTCTGATTGCATAGATTTAAAGGCCAAAGTTCATAGTAATTCTACCTTTGGAAGTATAGTTCTGAAACATAAATGGCTGACAATGATTCTCTGGTTAGAGAAAGAAAACTCTCTGACAACAAAGTAAGGGGTTGGGATCACTGAGGGCCACATGTGACCTCGAGGCTGCAGGTTCCCCACCCCTGGCCTAACCTATCCAACCAGGGCTAGGACACCAAGGTACCTTGGTGGGGTTACAGACACAGAGACAAGCCTTAGAACTAGAGCAGCTAAGCACTTTGGAAGTCACTGATAGCAAAAGACTAATAGAAATCACAGGCTTGACCCTCCTGGTCAATCTTGGCCATGCTAAGAGGACACATTCCCTTCCTTAAGAACTTCTCAAAATAATCTAATCTTTCAAGATTTAAAACATTAGCCAATTTCCTCATATTTTAACCAGGAGACAGATGTTGTATACTAATAACCATTGCACTATTCACTAAGTTTAAACTTGTTTAAAATATTTATTGGATAGTTCTGGGCAGGATTCTGATGGGAGGGAAGGATGAAGGGTGGAGAGGGTTGGGTGAAAACCTGGGCAAGGAATCATTTTATTTTCAAGTTTCTCCCAAGCTAAGAAATGTCTGCTTCATTTCTCTCTCCCTCTCCCTCTAGAATGTAAGTGTAACAAGGAAGGGACACAGACGCCCATCTGTGACCAGGAAACTGGTTCCTGCCTGTGCCGAACAGGTGTCATGGGCCAGTTCTGTGATCGTTGTGCCCGGGGTCATTCCCAGGAATTTCCCACATGTCTTCGATGTCACTTGTGCTTTGATCAATGGGACAATAAGATTTCTTCCCTCTCTGAGGCTGTACAAGGGTTAATTAGGTTGGCTGCAAACTTGGAAGATAAAAGAGAGACCCTGCCTGGCTGCAATGCAGACATCAAACGCCTAGAAGATAGCATGTCTGAAATAGAAAGGATTTTGAAACATCCTGTTTTCTCATCTGGGGAATTCTTAAACGTCAAGGATTATCATGACTCTGTTAGGTAAGACTGTGCTCAAATAAGAGAGCCAGACTCACTATTAACCAGGACTCCTACTGTGCATTTAATCTGAATGGCTTTAACCAAATTTGGAAATATACCTATACTGACTTCAGAGAAATGATCAGTCAACAGCCTGAGTTACCTAGTCAGTCATCCTGTTTGCTTGCCTCTTTTTTTTTTTTTTTGAGGCAATCGGAGGTAAGTGACTTGCCCAAAGTCACACAGTTAATAAGTGGCTAAGGTCAGATTTGAACTCAGGTCTTCCTGACTCCACAGCCAGTGTTCTATCCACTGTGCCACCTAGCTGCCCCTGCTTGCCTCCTTCTTAACCCACTTGAAAGCAAGTTTTTCCCAGATGCAAACACATTTTAACTAACAGCTGAACTTTTTAGATTTTAACCTAGATTACCAGCTTCAGGGAAATGATAAGAATAATAATAGCAACTCAATTCGATTCAATTCAACAAACTATTATTACCTGTGACATACCAGGCACTGTGCTAGGTCCTGGTGAAGCATAAACAAAATGGAAACAGACCCTCCTCTCAAGAACTTTGGGGGAGAAGAAAGAAGAGAGAAAAGGAAGGAAAGGGAAAAAACATACACTGATAAGAAAATATGAAATATACAAAATAAACACAACCAAATTTCAGAGAGGAGTTCTAACATCTGGGAGCATCAGGAAAGGCATCTCATAGAAGGTGGCATTTCAGCTGATCCTTGAAAGGAGCTAGCATTTCTAAGAGGCAGAGGAATTCCACATATGGGGGGCAGCCTTTGCAAAGGCATGGAGACAAGAGATCCCATTCCTGTCCTTCCTGCTTTGTCCTCCCTCAATATATCTGCTAGTTCACATACTCCTTTCGAATCAGGTGCTATCCCCTCCGTGAAGGCTTCCCTAATCCCCACAACTGAAAATGACTGGATCTCAGAATTCACATCAAAAGATGTCTAGTCTAGACCAGAAGTGTCAAACACATGGCCCACAACACTTCCAAAGGTGGCCCAAAACAGATTAAAATGTAGTCCCTACCAGATTTTAATGTTGTTGTTGTTAATATTGTTGTTATTGTTGTTCAGTCATTTCAACTGTGTCCGACTCTTCATGATCCCATTTGGGATTTTCTTGGCAAAGATACTGGAGTGGTTTGCCATTTCCTTCTCCAGATCATTTTACAGATGGGGAAACTGAGGCAAACAAAGTTAAGTGACTTGCCCAGGGTCACAAAGCTAGTAAGTGCCTGAGGCTGGATTTGAACTCAAATAGACCTTCCTGACTTCAGGCCTAGTACTCTATCCATTGCACCACCGGGCTGCCCTTATTTTAATAGACCGATGGTTAAATAAAAAAAAAAAATTTAAAAAGAAAAAGAAATACATACACGTGGTTTTCTAAGTTAATATGCAGTCCATAGGGATCTTTATGTGTGGTATACTGGCCCTTCTTCCTATTTGAGTTTGATACTTTGCTTCAACTTGTCCGTAAAAATAGCAGGATGGCCTTTTTCATATAATTTGCTGACATCCAAATAAACCACATCTATGGAGATGGCAAAATAGATCTACTATCGGAACTCCCCCTCTTCCCATTTATAATCACTGCTTTTCTTTTATCATATTTCATCTCATGTTTATTTTTTTAAACATATCATCTTGGGGAAGCTAGGTGGCACAGTGGATAGAGCACCGGCCCTGGAGTCAGGAGGACCTGAGTTCAAATGTAGCCTCAGACACTTGACACCCACTAACTGTGTGACCCTGGGCAAGTCACTTAACGCCATTGCCCAGCAAAATTCAAAAATAAAAATAAAAAATAAACATATCATCTCCCTGTGAGATTGTAAATTCCTTAAGGAAAAGACTGTAAGGTTGTTTTTTTTTTCATCTTTATATGCCCAGAACCTAGGATATTGTCTTGCACATAGCGTGCACCAAATGAATGCTTGCTGAATTGAACTGAATATAAATAGCAAATTGATAAGCATGTATTAATCACCTACTGTGTGCCATTCACTATGCCTTTGGGCTATTATAACCATACTCCAATAAAGGTTATTCAGTCTTTCTAAACTTTCCAATTTTGCCAAAAATCCATATATTACTAAGGTTACTTGAAATTCAGCATAAGAAGATTTGGAAATAGGGAAGAACCTTAAGGCCATTTAACCCAACATGTACATTTTACAGATCAGGAAATGGAGGCCCAATATTAATTGGGTCTGGCTCAGTCAGAGCCAGGATTCAAACTTGGATTCTCTTAATCCAAGTCTAGTCCTCTTTGTTGAACTGTTTCCCCTTGAAATTTGTCCAGCTAGTGTGTCTCAACATATAAGACTAAAGGGGCTTCAATTTCACAACCAAAACAATGTGTTATTATAGCAAAACATCCTCCTCTCCCAAAAGTTATTAGAAATTGAAGGATGATCCAAATAGATTTCCTGTTAAAATGTGAACGTGGACATTTAGAATCATTTTAATGAAAGACAACAGGAACTAGGAGTAGAGGGGAGATTGTAATTGACCTATACGCGAATACCCTACATTTAAATGTATATTTATATGCATCCCCTAAAAAGTAGCCTAAGATGAACACAACCCAGAGCAATTTTGAGCTAATGGGGGAGGGAAGAAGAGGTAGAGAAAAAAATGCTCCCTACAAAAACTGGTAGTAAAAGACAAACTTCTATTCAGTCATCTAAAGGAGAGGGTCTGGCAAAACCCTACAAGAAGGGCCTTACAGCAAGTGGGAAAGAAGAAAGGAGTAGGATCCAAGAGAGCAGACCTATTCTCCAGGCAGGAAAGGAAAGTATTCCTCCAGCGACCAAAAGAAATAGCTTGGATTCAGATTAGGAACTAGAAATCAGGATGACAATAATATTTTTCTAAGCCAAAAGTCAGGAAGACATAGAATCTGACAAAGAATATTCCTTTTTGCAAAAAGCTTGCTGTAAGAGAAAATGTTATATAGTGGGCAGAGTGATGGTCTTTGAGAAGACAGCATCTGGGTTCAAACCCTGCCTCTGATATGTGCGAGCTCTCTGACCTTAAGCAAGTCTCTCTCGGTTTCAGTTTTCTCATCTACAAAATGGATATTACAATACTTGCATTAACATGTTTATAGTGAGGAAAGCATTTGTAACCTAAAAAGTACTACAAAGATGTGAATTTTCTTTATCATTAGTAAGACAGTTCTCACTTTAGGTAAATTTGCAAATTTGACTTTAAAGAATTTTCAAAGAAATCAACATTCCAGGAAAAAAAAACATCTATGTTAACTTTACTGTGCAGTAGAGTACTGTGCTATTTCTCTCGCTCCTGCCCCTCTGCTTGTCCTTCCCTGGCCTCCCTCCATACCCCCACCCCCACCCCACCAAAAAAAAAATTAAAACCCTCCAAGTGAAAGCAGAACTGAGGCAAAGAGACTGGCAGCCAATTGGGGACTTTGCTTGAGACCTCCAGTACCCCTTGCCACGTGCCCACACGTCTGCCCCTGCAATTCAGTTCTCTGTCCAAGCTCAGATACCATGTGTCTATCCCCACCTGGCTTGTCACCAGTCCTTTCCTGTCTGTGTCCATGTCTGGTTGGCCTGGCCCAGTGTATTCTTCCTCCTGCTCTAGCTTCTCTGTCCCCAGTCCCCTCCCTCCACAGGTATAGACCTCCTTCCTGCCTCCCTCCCTCCCTTCCCACATCCTCAGGCAAATTCAGGGTCTGCAGACAGGTACACTTATATAAAACAAGAACTGTCTCTAGTTAATCTTTCTCCAGAGCTATTACTTAGAAACCAAGCTGACTGATAGACATTTGACCTCCTCTCCTTTCTTCTGCCAGTTGTTTGGTGGTGGTTCAAATGTGCACTAGCCCCATTACTTAGCACACAGTATGTCTTTAATACATGCTTTGTATTCATTCAATAGTAGGCCTCTGAGACTGAATGGACCACAAAGGGTCGGGATGATCCATTAACTGAAGTATCAGTCACCAAATAATAAAAAGTAAGGTAACACAATAATCCTAATAGCAAACATTTATATAAGGCTATACCTTTTACAAATGGGTTGTATATTTTTAAATAATCCTCATTTTAACAATGAGAAAACTGAGGCTCAGCTAGGTCAAGTGACTTGTACCAGGTCAAAGAGCTAGTGAGTTTTTAGTACCCAAGTCCTCAAACTATAAATCTAATGCTTCCAATCAAGAGATGTTGGACAAGTCATTTCGCCAGCCTGGGCTTCATGTTCCTCATCTATAAAATGATGGCTTCCAAGGATCCTTCCTGCCCAAGATCCATGGTCTTTTGTACCCATCGGTACAAATTTCGTATTAGCTAAGAAGATATATCCATACAGAGCAAGTCCCTGAAGTCTTAGTGCAGTCTTAAACTTTCGCACTGAGACTTTTACAACACCCAATACCTTTTACATACGTTGATAGACAGATAAACAGACATAAAGACAGACAGACAGGTAGGTAGATTAGATAGCTATATTAGATGGGTTAGATGGATAGACAGACACATAGAGATGATGACAGAGAGAGCAATGGGGCATAATAGAAAGAGTTCTAGATTTAAATTCTAAGGAACTGCATTTGAATCCTTACTACTTAAAAACTATCTGACTTTGGGCATTTGGCTTCACCACTCTGGGTCTCAGGTTCCTCATCAGTACAATGAAAGGGTGGGACTAGATAATTTCTTAGTCTCCTTTCAGCTCTAAATCTTTGATCCTATGAATTGTTTTGTAGCTCCTGTCTCCCTAAGGTGTCAAATGTATTGCAAGTTTGATGACAGAATGCATACAGTACTTTGACAACTGCAGGGAGCTATACAAATGTAAAGGATCTTTGTTAAAATCAAACAAATATGATATTCTTCTCTAGAATACAGGTTGAACAGATAGCCCAACAACTGAATAAAGCGTATGATTTCCAAGACCTGAATGGAACTGTGATGGGCATTGGGAAAGAAGTGGACAATCTACTCAAAGACCTGCAGAAGAAAGTGCACTTGTCCTCCCATGTCGGCGATTCCAGCATCAGGGGTAAGAAACCAAATGCATTTCAATCATCTGGTGAACTTCCCTCTTGGCAGCTGATGAAATACCCGTTGCATTCCATGAGTTACTTATAGTGTGCTATTGCCATAGTGCCTAAGCGCTTTAGAAAGCAAAACCACACCCCTTAAAAGTATTATTTGCACATGAATGTTTCAGCTTTTTTTAACGTTTCTGGGATCCTAGACTATTCTTTCTTTAAATGAAGAACTACAGCCAACAATGTGTAACCTAAACATACACCAGAGGTTAACTGAAGTGGTATCTAATTATAAACCCATGAGGGGTCTGGGATAAGGAAGAACCCCAGAGTGAGTGGGCCTAGTGCAGCCGTGGGGAAATAACAGAAACAGCTCTTAGCCATATTCTCATCTTGGCAAGGTACATTCTCATCCCTTCCTTAACACTAATAACTAAGTTCCTATGAACTTTGGATAAGAGAGAGTATGAGAGCTTGGCAAGATCCCTGTTTTATTACTCACCAAAAAACAGTAAGTAAATTTAAATTCTCCTAAGACACTGGGAAGATTCAGTCACTTGTAGAGATTAAGTCCAGGTCTAGGTAATCTGAACTTAATAAGTTTTGGAGTAGAGAGGAGAGGACAAAATTCTTGGATTCCCAGCTTCCTAAAACCTAGAATCATAATTTATAGCTTATATAAGAATTTAGGTAACTATTATTAGTAATATTCATAATAGTGCACTAAAAAACTGCATAACATAACAAAGAGAACTGGCCTCAAAGCGAAGAAGACCTGGGTTCAAATCATCCCTTTGACATATACTGACTGTGTAACTTTGGACAAGTTACTTGAACTCTCAATTCCCCAGGAAACCCTCTAAGATTGCAAATTGCATAGAAAGTACTAACCTGCCTTGGTAGAGAGTTTTTCCTCACCTGGGAGTTCCCTCTACAAACTGAATCAGAGGTCTACTCCCTTTTTGTACCAGTGTATATTTGAGGCAATACTTTATGGTTACAAAGTTCTTTTCCCTTTTCATTTACATGATCTCATTTGAGCCTTACAAAAATCCTGTGAGTCAGATAGTACAAATATGATCCTTATTTTATTAAGGACTAGCAATCAGAGAGGCTAAGTGTCTAACCCGAAATCATACAGTTAATAAGCAACAAAGTCAGGAACCCAAACCCTTTTGCTTTCTGTCCAAGTTCATTTGGTTTTTCATTAGGCCACACTGCCAAATCTTTGTATTGCTATATTAAATATGATGACTTATAATTTTACATATATGAATCACATACGTGTATGTATATATAAACATACATATGTGTGCATATTCGCACCCATAAAAACCACACTGAACATGTGATTTCATAAATATAATGAACTCTAAGTGAGGAACTCTTCCCACCGAGGTAAATTATTACAGCATCTACACTTTACACCTTTAGAGAGTTACATGAGGTCAATGAGAGCTTAATTATGATCAAAGGTAGGATTTAAACCTAGGTTTTCTTGGGGCCATCTCACTATCCACTACACCACATTGCCTCTCATTTTATATAATTATTCACTATTTAATTATTCATGATATAATTATATCATTCATTATTCAACATCAATAAGAGCAGAAAGAGACTTCAAAATTCCTTAGGACCCAAATGCTCTTGGGACTCAAATTGATTTAATTGTAATGTCTGCTACTGTCACAGTCAAAATAATAGGATCTAGCAAAGGAAGAAATCATAGTCATAGTTACATCTGCAGACCAGGAATTCTTGCATTGCCAATGACAAGGAGACATGGTGGAGAGGGGTGCAAAAGGTGGACATCCTTCTCTTCATTCAGATCTATCTCTTTCATAGTTTTTAATGGGGGGGAGGGGTAAGAAGACTTAGAACTTTTTGCACAACAGGAAAGAGACTTTGCAAAAATTAAACTATGGCATATGGCAGAGACCAAAAACATAACACAGATAAAAGCAGAAATGTGTATCTCTAAAGAGTGTTCAACCAATCAATCAATATGCAATGTAAAGGTAAAAGATAGAATAGAATAGAATATAACACATATAATATGTGTTCAAGGAGCATGAGGACATGGCCAGATTGCTTTCTTTCCTTCCATATATTTTCCTATAAGGTCCATAATACTGCTAGGCAAACTTGCTCTGAATAAGCAGGCAGTCTATAGCTCTACAGCTTTAAATGTAAATTCAAAGAGAATGAAAGAACCAATGTTGGGGGGGGGTGTTATTTGAAGAAGAAAGTAAACACATCATAGGACTATTGTCTTCAATTAATCAACCAACAAACATTTATTAAGATTTGGCACAGAGAAACAATACTAAACATGGAGTCACAGACTCTAGTTCATATCTCACCTCTGATGATTACTACTCTGTGACATTAGTTAAAGGTTAAAGTTATTTAACCTCTCTGGGACTCAGTTTGCTTATCTGTAAAATGAAAGGATTAGACCAAATGACTTTTAAGATCTCTGCCAGCTCTAAACCTATATGATGTGATCCTTTGTATACCTGGAGCTATACCAAGTTCTGGGGACACAAAAGCAAAAGTGAAAGAGCCCCTGCCCTCAGGGAGCTTACAATATAGGAATGTATGTATGGTAAGAGAGAAACAACTTATATAGGTATGTGCAAAATGGATTCGAGATAATTTGAGGGGAAGGCACTGGCTGCTGGGAGGGATCAAGATATAGATATATCTATATCTGATGTAGAACATGCTGTTCTCTCAACTATCTTTTCACAATAATTTACATTGATACAGATGCCTCGAAGATCAAGAAATATTATCAGATGTCATTATCTATGGAACAGAAAATTAATGAGACAACTCTTATCATGAAACATTCTGAAAATACCAGGAATGATTTGCTTACTATGATAGATGGACTAACCTCAAAAGCAGACTTCTCACTAGAAAAATTAAAACAGATTCAGACTCCAGATATCCAAAAATTGAATGAAAAGGTAAACAGAAAACATTGCATGTTAAAATTGTCCTGTGATTATCTTTTCATTACCTTCATTATCTCTTCAGTTTTTCTTCCCTCACATTTTGTTTTCCTTCTTGAAAGCCTCTCTAGCTGGTTATAGTGATGCACATCTGTAATCCCTGCCACTGTAGAAGCTAAGGCTGGTGGTTTGCTTGAGCTCTGGAGTTCTGAGCTGCAGTGGGCTAAGCCTATGGGGTGTCCACCCCAAGTCCAACACCAATATGGTTATTCTTTCCCTCACTCCCCAGGCTGCCCAAAGGAGAGACAAACCAGGCCAAGTCAGAAATGGAGCAGGTTGAAACTCCTGTGCCAATCACTAATGAGATCAGGTCCTTGAATGTGGCCACTGCACTTTCAGTCGAGGCTAGACTGACCCCCAATATCCAAAAAGGTGGTGGGGGTGGGGGGGCTTTCCTCAGGCAACATTTTCAAAATCCAAATGATAGAGATAGTACCTATTAATCTCCTGGTCTACTATTGTTTCTGAAACATCATGGGTGTTTTTTCATCACTTACACTAGAATGTATTACTATAAAATCTGGTAGCCCTGAAAATTTTAACTTTGTCTTACCCTAGTTAATATTTTTGTTTTTTACAAGTCAGCGAGAAACACAAAATACATTAGTTGATGTAATGCTCTTTAAATATGATCATAAAAAATTAAAGATACTTAGGTGCAATAAAATTTGGGACATCAGACCATGTGCAGTGATTGCTTTCAGGCAAATATTAACAATTGCTGTGCTCATTCATAATTTCATTAAATGGAATTTTTAATATGTCCTGTTTCAGCATCAAATTTCTGAGTTTTTGCAGTTCACACAAGGAGCTTCTTGACAACAAATTCTCTTTTTAGGTATGTGGAATACCAGGTAACTTGTCATGTCTTCTTGCGCCCTGTGGGGGAGCTTTGTGTAAAGATGCTGGCGGGCACAGAATTTGTGGAGGTCCAAGCTGTAATGGTTCTCTAGGCCTTTCAGGGGATGCTGTCAAGAAATCTGAGGAAACTGAGTCTATGATTAATAATCTGACCAACCAGCTACAAGTGTCAGAAAATCAGGTAATTAAATGCCATGTCTTTCCATCTTGCTTTAACAGTAAAATGATAATGTGACATTATTCAGAAAAAAAATAGGTAAATGAAAATAAAGCCATATAATGTTTCTGTTATTCAAAAACTAAATTTATCAAAGTTGAAAGAAATTGACTCTCAGGGGGTTGGCTGCGCTGTGTCATGGCAGCTCAGTAGCTGAGCAGCCACTGAAAAGGAAGGAACTGCATGTGTGTGTGTGTGTGTGTGTGTGTGTATGTGTATGTGCTCACACGTGTGAGTGTATGGAGAAGGCGGTGGGGATACCGAGTTTGAGTCCCAACTCCACTGACTCCATTTGCTATTCTCATCCCTTCTCCCCTTTCTAGTGGTGATTGGTGTAATCTTTTCCCTTTCGGTATCTCTTCATTCTTTTCCTAACCTTTTATTTTTATTTGAGGGTGGTTGGAAAGGGAAGGGAAAGAAAGAAAGAGAAAGGGGAAGGGAGGAGTGTGAGTAGTGGGAGAGGAGGAGGAGGACATGGAGATGAAAATGAAACAGAAGATTAACCTGGAGTTAAGGAACAGAGCTCCCGAGGAGGTGACACAGTTAGTCCTGGATAACTGTCATTCTGTCAACGGGGAAATTGAAGGTCTCAATGATACTTTCAAAGAATTAGAATTTCTGAGCATGGTCAATATGGCACTCACCTCGCTGGCTGGGCTTCTCAGCTTGAATAAACTTTGGAAGTTGGAACTTAGTGATAATATTATTTCTGGGGGCCTGGAAGCCCTGGCAGAAAAATGCCCAAATCTCATCTACCTCAATCTGAGTGGCAACAAAATCAAAGACCTCAGCATAGTAGAAGCTCTGCAAAATCTTAAAAGCTTGAAAAGCCTTGACTTGCTTAATTGTGAGATCACATATCTGCAAAATTATAGAGAAAGTATTTTTGAACTGCTTCAACAAATTACCTATCTAGATGGATTTGATCAGGAAGATAATGAAGCACCAGATTCTGAAGAGGGGGAAGAAGATTGATGAAGAGAATGATGATGAAGATGAAGAAGAGGATGAAGCAGGTCCACCAGGAGGATATGAGGAAGAGGAGGAAGATGAAGATTAAGCAGGTTCAGATTTAGAGAGAGAAGAAGAGGAGGTGGGTCTCTCATACCTAATGAAGGAAGAAATTCAGGATGACGATAATGATGATGACTATATTGAAGAAGGAGGAGATGAAGAGGAAAAAGAATAAAGTATTCAAGGAGAAAAGAAGAAATGAGATATTGAAGATAAAGGAGAAGAAGATGGTTAAATGGACCAGACTCCATTATTCTACAGTTTGCAATAGAGTGATCTTGTCGATCTCTGTTTCTTTATGTACCATGCTGTCCCTACAGAAGATAGCATGTAACTTTTTATAAGAAAGGTGTGGTTTTTACTATTTTTGCCTTTTTATCATTCCAAATAAGATTTGTTACCTTGTTAGTGATCACATACAGTATATAGAAAAAAAATCAGTCCTATGCAATGATTGACCCCATTATCAAATTCCCTAGCAATTCATTTAAAATCTTAATTTTCTTATTCAGGCTCAATGTTTTGGTCATAATTAGTTCACAATTAAAATATGGCAGGTTTTCTACGGTATACTATGGCGCATTTCATTCATAAGCTTTTCAAGTTATTTATAAACTAGTTGAAATCAAAGTTGCTGTTATATGCTGTAATATGAGAAGTCAACAGTCTCTCTTTGAGATGAAAAAGTTGATTATATTCTTCAGAGCTAGCCAGAGGTCTAGTTAGAAGATAGTGGGTTTTTTGATGCTAACAGTTTTTTGTGTGGTTACATAATTAAATCAGAAGCAGAATGGTGAGGGTTCTGTTCAGAAATAGCATTTTTGTAGTTCATTGTTGGAGAGGCTGATGAAACCTGTCTCAAACCAGGTGGCTGTTTAGGTCTTTGTGTTTAAAAGAAAATATCGTGTTTTCCAAGTTCTGAGCATATATGTGAACCCTTTCTTTTTTAGGCTACAAGTCATGGCATGACAGGGTTCTTTAAGGTATTTAAGGGCTGTTTCCTTGCCCTTTCTGATTTCTATCCCACCAAATGGAAGACAGACTGCAAAAACTGTAGGCCCTTCCCTCAACTGCCTTTTCTTGCTTTGCTTGGATTTCTCATAGGCTACCCTTGAATGAGAGGATTGACTAAAATTGTCTCAAATACAGACATGATTATCCACATAACTTTGTTCAAAAGCCTCTGCTTACCCTGAATCTCTCCTGGTTGATATTGTGAATTAATTGTATCGGTGAAGTCGGAGGGGATTCCTTATATGTCAAATAGCTGTCTGTGAATGTTTAATGAAGCATTCTATCTATGGATAGATTTTACATTTAATGTCTGATTCCTGAATCACGATTTGCACACTGCAGACTGGAGATCTGCAAAGCATATTTTATTTTCCTGAATAGAACTTTAAATTACTCTTCCCATCAGTATGAAGCATAACCAACTTTTAAGACATCTGAATGGCATATATTAGGCAGTTGGCAAAAATATTTGAAACTAGATTGGTTTTCAGATAAAGATTTGTTTTAAAGTGGATATCCATAAAGAAAAGAATTTGGGGAAACTGTAATTGTATGTGTGCACCTGTGTGTGTTTTTTCCTATTAAGTTTCCATGTTTTATATGAATTCTAAATTTAAAAAAATAGAAAAATATATTCCCCACTTTTTATCATGGAGGCTCAATTTTCCAGACAATTGCTCTTTGTTGATCTTGACTATCTCAAGAATTTTCTTTCCGATAAGTTTTTAGTATTTGTAACTTAACTTTTTAAAAATCAGCACCAACAAATGGTGACCATGTCTCTTTGAACCGAAGTCATACTTCTCTACTGGGTCACATTTAAATTACTTAAGACAGTAGTATTTTTATCTTTTCTCCTTGGGGTTTAAAGAATGTGACTAGTAGCTTTGGGGTTCCTATAGGAGTATAATTACAGAGTTATCTGTAGAGAAACCAAATTAACAAAAAGCTTGACTGGTTAAGTGAAATCAAATTCTTGGGACAGAGTTGGTGGAGTGATGGGATGCTTGACTAATAGTTTACTCATTTTTAACAGCTGAAATGCAGCATTTTGGACACTTTGCATTCTTAAATTCCATATATTACTTTAGGCTTCCAAAATACCTGTTTTAAAATTAATCTACATTTTTAAAAAATCATCTTACTGTGCAATCAGAATTAGTATAGTTCTTTTATTTTAAAAGTTAATACCTAGAGCCTCTAAATAACTTCTAAAACTTACTTTGCTTGGTGGGTGGTATTTTCATGCAAATATGTAAGGGAAGGGTTTTATATTTTGGGGAGGCTTTTGTCCTATTAATGCTCTTTGTAAGGCCGTGTATATAGAGTGTGTTAAGTCGTCTAAGAATTTCTCTCCCAAAAAACTTTGAAGTTATTACTTTTATACAACCATGTTTTGAATAGAGCCATGACAGTGTTAAATTTTTTAAAAAAAAGTTGATTCTGCCTTCATGCAATTTACCTTCCAAAGGAAAATGGTTAACTATACATACAGATTATTTCAAGTAAACATCTCTAAATTGAGAAAAGGCAACAGTGATTTTGAAGTCGATATTCTCAAGAGTAAAAGATTAAACTTTTGATTTACTACCCATACTTTAGATTACAGGAGTGTGCATATTTCCTTTTTAGGCACTGTACCTGTATCATGCTTTCTTTCAGTCAGGCAACATATGGAAATTTACAAGAATCCTACCCCCTAAGGGGATATGACTCTAAGTCTCTCTAAGCAAAATAATAATAATAATAATAATCTTCCAGGAATTCAAGTGTTTATTAGAAACCTTATGAAATATACAAATTAAAAAAATGTTAAAAGGAATTTTGAATGAAAGTATCAACTTTTATATCGTTAGCCCATACTGCTATCACTTGATAAATTGCTTAACCTTTAAACCAGTTCAATTCAGTCAATATTTATTAAGTACTTGCTTTGTGCATGGCATTGCACTAGATTGGAGTGTTGGGAGATTAGGTAACTAATGTTCCCCCTCCCATTCTAGAGTTTATAATCTAGTCTACAGATATGATAGACACAAATGCGTGCGTGCGCGCACACACACACACACACACTCAAGCTATAGTACAAAGGATTTATTACAATTTAAGAAATAAATAATAAAATAATCCATGATGAGAACATACGAAAAGTATAAACAAAGTGCTGTGTGGGCTCCAAGGCACAGAGGTTTCATTTAGAAGGTGGCATTTGTACTAGGTTTTTGAGGTAGTGCCTGAATTTATTTTATTCCTCACTCTATTTATCTGAATTCTATACATTTTTCGAGTTCCAGACAAAGTTTTACCTCTCTGAAGCCTTCTCAGACACTCCAGACCAAAACGATCTCTTTCACTTGTATAGCTCACCTTATATTCTCAGTTTTTACTCTCTGAACTAAATTGTAAACTGCTTGAGAGTAGACTCCACCTTCAGTCATTTAATACTTACTTATATCTCACATTATATACTCAGTTTTCTTTGTATGCTTGCTCTTTCCCCACCTAGAGTGTAAGCATCTTGAGGAGCAGCTTTAATAATTTTTCTTAGCAGTTTTGCTTAGCACAATTTTTTTTTTTTTTTTGGTGAGGCAGTCAGGGTTAAGTAACTTGCCCAGGGTCACTCAGCTAGTTTCAAGTGTCTGATGTTGGACTTGAGCTCAGGTCCTCCTGACTCCAGGGCCAGCTGTGCCACCTAGCTGCCCCTGCTTAGCACAATTCTGAGGGACAATTCAGGGATTGAGTTAATTTTGGCTGATTTATTTGAAAAAATTTAAAAAATGCTAATCCAACTCCCAGAGTTTGTCAGAGTATATTATCTTTTAAATCAAAAATGTGGGCCATGTCCCTACACCAAGTGCAAAGAATATAAGTAGAACTCTCTGAATTGTGTACACAAGAACTTAATTTGGGTTCTTAGTTGCTCAGTATGCAAAATA